GGTCAGAGTCGGGACCTTGTGGTCAATACACTCGCGGCAGACCATCTCGAGGTACTCAGAATTGCGGAGGGCTTGGTGGATATCATTGTCCAATGGATCGACAATGGCCTCAGTCATATTCCTGGACTGACACAGGGCGTGCTTCAGAGCCTCAGAGATACCATTTAGGATGTGTCTTTTCGACAGGGTTTCCAAGACCTCAGGATCAATAACAATATTGGTGGCAGGGTAGTATGATCCAAGCAGATTCTTCCCCAGCTGATGGTTCACGGCTTGCTTGAAGTCGATGGCGGCATCAGTCATTCCCATCATGGACGTTGTGATGTGAACCAATGTGATACCACGGTAGAGAGACGAGGCGATGAAACCACACAAATTATTCACAACTCCACCACCCAAGGAGATAATGCAAGAGTTCTTGGAAATACCGGATTCCAGGATCTCATTCACACAGTTAGAGAACACAGCAAGCGTCTTGTGGCGTTCAGCACTGGGATTTCCACTCTCGTCGACGGCATCGGCGGGAGTGACGATCTTGTACACATCCAATCCTGCGTCGCGGAAACCTTGGAGTACCTTATCACCGTAGACCTCGTCGACTATCTCGTCAACGACGAGGTAGTTCTTAGCTTCGTGACACAGCGCTGGGACGAACTCTCGCCCTCGAGTCTCCAGCTTACGAAGTGCACCACTTTCAATGATGATGTTTGATTCAAGTGGCTTACCAGGACGAGCAAATCTATTTCTGTAGACATCGTCTTCATCGATAGTACCAGGAGTGACCTTTGGTTGTGTGAGGTTCATGGTTTGTGTCTTCATTGTTGTTGTTGTTGTTGCTGTTTTGTTTAGTTGGTTGTATTGTTCAACTTTTTGTGTTTGGTGAATTGTGAGAGACGGATTGGAATGCAAAAAAAAGTGAGGAGGGAAACGCGCTTCTGGGAACGGTCGTGGCAGGCGCGATAATTCGCATCAAAGACCTCACAGCCACAAACTCCTAAATTCTCACCAGAGTAGGGTAGCGCAATCCCGCTGAAAAAGACAAAATTACACGATCGGACGGTCGTTTGATGCCCGTTGATACTCAATGTGCGCCGACAGAACTATACTCGAGTTCTGAATACACAAGAATTGCTCACGTGGCAACTGCTACTGAGCGATGCCACCAGTACACGTACAGCAGAGAGGTCGAAAGTTCTTGATGGTAAATTCAGAAGCGTTTAGTACGGTTAGTATGTTTTCTAGTGGTTCCCACAACTTTGATGACTCAGGTCCATCCCCTAAATGAAAGCAGCAGTCAGATGTTTCGTTGGCAACATGAGAAATGTCAAGAACCGACTATTGGTTCTGAATGTGGACCGCTTATTACCTGGTAGCCAACACTCAGAAAATGGCAAGATGTGCCACCAACCGTAGCCAAAAACACTAGAGTAAAAGGGTTGGTGCCTACAGGCAAGGAGGATGTTACAGTCTGATGTGGTACTCGGTCACTACTAAGCCGACGAGAGATGACAAAACAGATGCATCTAGTTGTATACCAATATTTATAAGCTTACTACTAGTAATATGAAATTTGCACTCTATTTGGTGTCTTGTGTATGGTATAATCAATCGTTGTGCTCCTCAACACTTGCAATCCCATGGGTTGCAGCAGTAGCGAACACTTACTCCTTGTTGAGTTCCGAAAGTCTTTGCCCCAGTCATTGCGCCCCCTTCGAATGTAGCGAACGATTTCACCATCCAAGCTGTCGCTATGGGGCATGTGAGCGATCAGATGCTGGATTGGAGTGGTCGATTTCGTATCAAGAGGTTCCTTTTTGGCTAAATTCTCACTGGATTTGAGAGTCCAGCAGAAATGCAAGACAAATATAGTTGGTTATATGTAGGGTCGTTTGACATACAAGTACTCTTGTACATGGAGCAAATTCCAGTGCGATCCAACTATAGTGGGACATACCTACAGAAATGTGTTATACACAACAGAGACGAGCACGTGACTAGTACCTGGTAGGATACTACCGGAAGGTCAAACATTTCGAATGCACCCCAATGCGACGATTAGAGAAATTGGGGCAAGGTACAGTACCAGGTACTGTCCCTCGTAAATGGTACAGACCTTGTGAGTTCGGTTGGATCAAGAGTGGTTGGATGCGTAGTCGGGTACTTTGATAGCCTCGTTTTCGAAACAAACGGTGGAAATGTGTATTCACGTTCGAATATTCATACGGTAAGTTTGACACATGCAGCAGTCGAGAGGTATCGATGATAAAAACAATACTTAGCACTGTACTGAACACATAGGTGATCGACTGAAGAATATTCGATAAGGTTATTGTTTATACCTTTACTAAATTGGAATGTATATTCTATATATGATGGTGCTATCTTTTGTAAGATGGAAAAATCATTAGCTGCTCAACATTGGCATTCCCATGGGTTGCAATAGCAGTTACTGATTCCTTGTTGCCGAGTTCCGAATGTCTTGGCAGTCATTGGGTCCCAATCGAACGTAGCAGGACTACTCGAACGATCGCTTCCACTTTCCATGCTATCGCTGCGACTGTGTGAGCGATCAGATGCTGGATTAGAATCGGAACCATCCGATGCGACAGTGAACCCGGCTGAGGATGGGTGGCCGGTCTTGAGCGTGTTACTGGCCTCAATAGTGTACAAGTCACTACATCTGTCAGCCTCGTCTCTTCTCTTCATGTGATTTACCAACGCTTGATTGATGACTTCGTTGTCAACTTCCACAGAAAACGAACCGTCACGATTACAGTGCATTTTGCCAATCTCCGCCAGCAGACCCATAGTGGGCTTCTTGACGTAGTGCTTATCATAGCACAGCTTGTTCTGGATACCCTCGATTCCAATTCCGTCAGGGACGTAAACAGGAAGGCCAGCTCTTGAGACATAGCTGTAGTGCTCGTCAACTGTGCTCTCGTCACACACTCCCAGAATATGGCTGACCTCGGCAGTCACACACATTCCAATGGCGACAGCCTCACCGTGCAACAGTGGACTTACACCCTTAGAGTGAAAGGACAAATGCTCGACAGCGTGGGCAATGGCATGCCCATATTGCGGAACCATCTCATTGAAGTCTGACTCATGGTAATGGGTCAGAGTCGGGACCTTGTGGTCAATACACTCGCGGCAGACCATCTCGAGGTACTCAGAATTGCGGAGGGCTTGGTGGATATCATTGTCCAATGGATCGACAATGGCCTCAGTCATATTCCTGGACTGACACAGGGCGTGCTTCAGAGCCTCAGAGATACCATTTAGGATGTGTCTTTTCGACAGGGTTTCCAAGACCTCAGGATCAATAACAATATTGGTGGCAGGGTAGTATGATCCAAGCAGATTCTTCCCCAGCTGATGGTTCACGGCTTGCTTGAAGTCGATGGCGGCATCAGTCATTCCCATCATGGACGTTGTGATGTGAACCAATGTGATACCACGGTAGAGAGACGAGGCGATGAAACCACACAAATTATTCACAACTCCACCACCCAAGGAGATAATGCAAGAGTTCTTGGAAATACCGGATTCCAGGATCTCATTCACACAGTTAGAGAACACAGCAAGCGTCTTGTGGCGTTCAGCACTGGGATTTCCACTCTCGTCGACGGCATCGGCGGGAGTGACGATCTTGTACACATCCAATCCTGCGTCGCGGAAACCTTGGAGTACCTTATCACCGTAGACCTCGTCGACTATCTCGTCAACGACGAGGTAGTTCTTAGCTTCGTGACACAGCGCTGGGACGAACTCTCGCCCTCGAGTCTCCAGCTTACGAAGTGCACCACTTTCAATGATGATGTTTGATTCAAGTGGCTTACCAGGACGAGCAAATCTATTTCTGTAGACATCGTCTTCATCGATAGTACCAGGAGTGACCTTTGGTTGTGTGAGGTTCATGGTTTGTGTCTTCATTGTTGTTGTTGTTGTTGCTGTTTTGTTTAGTTGGTTGTATTGTTCAACTTTTTGTGTTTGGTGAATTGTGGGAGACGAATTGGAATGCAAAAAAAAGTGAGGAGGGAAACGCGCTTCTGGGAACGGTCGTGGCAGGCGCGATAATTCGCATCAAAGACCTCACAGCCACAAACTCCTAAATTCTCACCAGAGTAGGGTAGCGCAATCCCGCTGAAAAAGACAAACTTACATGATCGGACGGTCGTTTGATGCCCATTGATACTCCATGTGCGCCAACAGAACTGTACAGTACGTGTACAATACTGGAACGGCCGGGAAATAGAAATTTAGCATACAATGCTTGGGAGTAAATATTGATTTTTCCGGCCGTTCCGGTACTGAACACACAAGAGTTGCTCACGTGGCAACTGATGCCACCGGTACAGCAGAGAGGTCGAAAGTTCTTGAGAAATACAGAAGCGTTTACGGTTACTACGTTTTTTAGTGGTTGACGAACCGCTTTTCAAAACCGTCAAGCGAACGATTGCTTCCGCTTTCTACACAAATAACCAAAGCTGTCGCTTCGGACATCTGTGCGATCAGGTGCTGGGTTGGAGAGGTCGATTTCGGATCAAGCTTCCTTCTTGGCTCAATTTGCGATCCCAGAAATGCAAAACAAATGTACCTTGTACCTGGTACCTGGTACCCTGGTAGAGTCGTTTGGCGTACTATTGATCCGAATTCCAGTCGGGGTAGTAGTACGTAACAGAATGTGCTGTACATTACAGAGGCCACCATACAGCCGGAAAGGTCGAACATTGTGGAAAGTTCTCGATGAGAAACAACGGAGCGTCATCTGCACTATTCATCAATCCGATTCTAGTCAGTTCACACTCAAGTCCCACCTATTTCATTCTCCTGGTTTGAGGTTCCTGGTTCCACATCCGTGCTGTAGGCGTCTGTTTGTTGTAAGGATTCATTCAGATACTTTGATAGTCTCTAATTATAGAAACCAAAAATTGACAGTATCATCATCTCCTAGTCCTACAGTACTAGTACTTACTTTCACCAGTTTCTCTATCAATATGATCGGCAGTAGTGCCCCAGGGTCGTCAACTGTACCAATCGTTTTAGCGCCATCTCGATTCAACCACCGATTCGAACGAACCACTGTGGACTCTGAACCAATTCAGTTGGAAGTTGAGAATCTGGATCAAGCACAGGCAAGCAAAACAGTAATCTGTGGCATTTGTAAGAACAAGCAGTCGCGATATATGTGCCCACGGAGTCAGATTACATACTGCTCGGTCGCATGTTTCCAGCAGTTGCCATCATCGAGCACCGAAGCCTTTTATGAGAATCGTGCCCAGTCCATTTTGCAGCTGGAAACCAAGGAACATGAAGAAGGCACCCTTCGCATGTTGAATCGGCAATATCAGCAGCAACGTGCAGACGAAGAAGCAGGAGTAGAAAAGGAAGAAGAAGATGACGTAGACTTGAAAGAATTGAAAGAGCTTCTTTCGATGGTCATGACAATGAACGAAGAGCACGACGGAAATGAGGATGATTCCAAACGGGAAACCAACGCAAAGCACTCGTTAGAAAAGTTGTTGTCTTCCATGTCACCTTCGTTGCGGGCTGCTTTTGAACGAGACTTACAAAATGGTAATCTGCAAAACTTGGCCCTGCAAGAATGGCACCCATGGTGGCGACGAGAATTTGGGAATGGAAACAGTGACGGCATGGAGGAGAGTGGTGAAGAAATTATTGCGGTCAGCAATGTCCAACCAACCAAGACGTTGGATGAACGCCTTTTGAAAATACCCAACTTCAATCAACTTTCCAAGAAACCAAATCCGCAATTGCTCTTCCATGTTCTGGATATTGTGTATTCCTACTGCTGGACACTTCGTCTCTTTCATGGACTGTCAAATATCATCGCTCCTAAAAGTGTAATATCAAACTCACAGGACTCCCCCGCTTCCGAAGCAGTGACAACTTTTCTATCACACTCTGAAGTTCTGTACCAGCAGGGAAGGCACCAATATAGTAGCTTGGAAGAGGTGTTGATTAAATGCACTGCGGCTTCCACCAAAGCCAAGGATGAATGCAACACAAACTGGAATGTCTTGGTAGAAGATTGCTCCTTGATATTTTCCTCCCGCCGCTCTGTGGCACGGTCTCTGGTTGAAGCTATTGACATGATTCAAGCCGCAGTGCAGGATTGTAAGAAGCAGCGAAAAGAGAAAGGTCCAGAGTATCAAATCGAACAACAGATTCAGACTCTGCGAAAGGTTCGCAAAAAGTTGGTATTCCTGGTAGCTTGGACGAAGCAAGCAGCTGAACTAGAAGGGCAGGATGATATTTCTATTTCCATACAAATCGAGGAATGGGGTCGGTATTGGCAGCACTCCAATGGCGATGAGGAACTCCACGAATTACAGATTCCCACCGAGACCATTTTGAGTTCACCATCGGACAAAAAGGCTAGTTCAGAACAACACGCCGCAACCCCATGGATGACGATTGCTGAAACAAGACCGAAATGAGCAGGCCAAATGATAATCAGACTGTCGGAGTTATCCAGCACTGGCAAACGAAAGATTTGGGGGTTGAATCTTGCGAGATCCACCTTCAACCACAGCACAAGTTCATGAAATCGTCGATGTACAGTACTGACCCGACACACACGCTAGCATATTGAGAGTAGAGCAAGAAAATCTGCTGGTATCGGCAGTAGTGGGTAGAGAAATCATTGTTCATTGTTACAGTTGACACTGCTGCGGTAAAGAATCATATAAATCGGGTATTCGTGTCTCCAATCAGTCATTGGATTATTGTCATGAGCGGTCCCTGCGTTTTTTTTCTACAGATCGGGTTTTCTTTTCCTTTTAACGCAGTAAGAATAATATTTTCTTCCTTCCCTTATTTTTCCCATCCTTCTGTATCTTCTTTTCTTATGTCGTGTTCAAAAGGGAAAGTCAGGAAAGACCTTAAAGTGTATGAATTTGAAACCAATGTAGGCAGTCGCCCACAAAATCAAAGACTTGCCCACAAACAAGTCAATGGCATCCAGCAGTTCTCGCACCAATCCAACCGATTGCCCGGCAGCCTTGACACTTCCGGCGAAGACTATGCCAGGTAGGTTCTTCAGTTCAGTTTTGGACATGTCTACTGCGAAGTCAAATTTGCCGGCATTTTCATCAACTTCCAAGTCCTTGGGTCCGATGAGACGGGTCTTGAATGGACCGACTGTGGGATACAATAGAAGAAGTTGGGGTAGGAAATTGATCAGCTTGATAGACATAAATACCACGACATGCAAGTCGTGCACTCTATCGTACTTACATCCAATATCAAAAATGACGGGGCGTCCTCGAGCTCGATCAAAGGAAAAGCCACCAAGGATTCGCATAGGAGCTCCCACAAAGAAATCGGCGTAGGTGAAAATCACGGTCAGAATCTTGGTGGATCCAACCAAAATGAAGGTAGTGGCAATGGCAAAGACGGTTCCGGCCAAAAAGGTTTCGACTGTCTCATGCAAGGGGAGCACCCAGCTCAATCCATTTTCCCGAATAAAGGGACCAACGGCTTCGTTGAAGAAAGATTCGACGACGCACAATTCCAATCGCACTCGCAACAATCCAGACGCAATCAGAGGTCCGTACTCCTTGAAATTGTCCGTTCCCACCACGGCTTCAGCAGTTCCCTGTAGGAGACGATAAAAGTTATCCGAAGCACCACAGACGGGAACGAAGTTGCTGGGATCAAAGGAGGCAGAAAGTTCCTTAGGCATTGTCACAGCATTCGCAACAGGTAGATTGGAGGTAATCATCCAAGTGGAAAAGGCTCCTGTGGCAGCCAACATGGCACCGGAGGCAACTGCAGGGGCAACAGAAGAGGATTCGCTATCACTGCTAATAAAATCAATGTATTTTTCAACCGCTGCTTCTGTTTCCTCCCTTTCAAGCAACTTTGTTTTCTTGGCCATCAGCTTGATGGATAATGGTTCGCGTTGGTGTTTGGATTGGAAGTGTGATAATCCTGCTGTCATTCTCACAGATGGTGTAAAGGCGGCGACATTTTGATGGCAATAGCTAATTACCAGCAGAACAACAAGATTTGCCGCAGCTGTGGTGGAGAATTTCATGTTGATGACAAGAATTGAAAAGTTGAAAGTGCTGATGATGAGATGCGGTTAGAAAAGAAGATCTGAATGAATTATTCCTCTTGGATTGCTTTGATTCGCTTCCTGGACTTCTACTGATTCAATGTGTGACCTTTCTAGTTGGTTTTTGAAAGTATAAGTAACGACTTTGAGATGCAACCAAAGGAAGTTGTTGGATCGTCACAGTGTCAAGCCAATCAATCAACAGTTTGAAAAAAGCTTACGTACTATACCGTTAGAAAGAATCCAATGAATCAATCTATTAAAATCGATCCTACAGTACTATAGTACAGTACCAGGTACCAGGGAACTATAATACAATTTGAAAGATATCCCCCAAATATCGTTCCCTAAATATTGAGAGGATTAATTCACCTCCCCCAATAATTGGGAGATCCCCCAACCTCTCGATATCGTACAACAGTGACCATCAAGTAAACAAGCAAATCTTGGCCTCTAGAGTGTGGCCACAATTGAGAGGGAAAACTCGTTTTGGTGATGACGAGAGAGGAAGTCTCCAAGGTTATCAAGGAGCTCCAGCAAGCTTGTCGGCGCTCCGTCTACAATGCCAATTTTCCCGCGGAGAAGAATGGTGCCAACCAACCAACATCATCGGCCTTCCGATTCAAACGTCAGCGTGTCGAAAGGATCTCTGATAAAACGAACCACCGAATAGATGACGACTGCGATGATAGGGCCATGAGAACATGGGAGACTATACTCACAGAAGCTGCTTCTTTGCTGCCCTACATGACCACGAGGGAACATGGCCGAGTGTCTAAACTTGCATCAATACTCTTGTTGGGATTTTTCTTGCCACATTCCACAGGAAATGAATTCTTTTTGTTACAAAACCAATCTTCTCTTACCACCTTTAATAATAATCAAAAAGAAGGTTCGCATCAAACCCACCAACAGCAGCATCAGACTGCAGGTGCAAAAACATCGGAACAACCACATCCGAATCTAGTGGTGTCGAATCCTTCTCAGCCTCAACAGCAAGAAGACCAAAAAGATGCTGCTAAAGCGATTCAAAGCGCTGTTATTGATCGAATGACCCTATCGGAACGGTTGCAACGGTCATCGCATGTATACAATGCCCATGAATGCGGAGAGTTGCATTCCATTTGCCACGATCCCATGGAACTGATATTGGATTCCTTTCTGAAACATGCCTTGGTCCCCTTTCTAAAGAACCGACCCGCTCACACACAACAAGTTGATCTGCTTCATATCTTGGCCATGGCTATTCACCCTCATCCTACGGAACAGTCAGTCAAAGATGTCGTACTGGAAATAGAAGATGATGAGGAAAAAGACGAAGAGGAGGAAGAGGAGGAAAACGGCAAGGAAGCGGATTCCGCCCCCACTCCCCAACAAAAGCGCGACATTGAGACCAAAAAGAAGAAGCAAAAGATATGGGAGTGCACCCAACTGCTCATGACCAATATTGCAGCCAGCAGTTTTCAGTTGCAATACCGACATCGATTGCTGTTGGTCCAAATTGTCACGGACTGCCTTGTGGTGCCATCGATTCACTCTTCCACTCGGAGAAAGGCAGTTGGTGGGAATCATCTGAATGCTGCATCTGCTCTCTTTGATGGTGCCATTCCTCATTTGCGAGCCTCCCTGTATGCCTTTGGGCTGGCGGCCATGAGTCCCTACGATGCTCATTGGGCTCAGTGCGGACTCGTTGCAGTATCGGTCCAGACTCGCAAGTTGGCCATGCTTACGGAAGAATGGAACCGCTTATTACATCGATTGGTCGAAGACAAGACGAACTACATGTTAGACCACCACGGCAAGGATGATGGTGACCAACCTCTCGGGGATAATATTGACTTCCGCAGCGCTACCTCCTTTTCTTTCATGTTTGACTGCTTGGGAAGCTGGAATGACCCAAATGCACATACAATTACTGGGCATCCAAAATTCTGCCCGCATCAAGCCAGAGGTCATTTGTTGGAACGTTTTTTGAGCTGGTACTGCCAATCACGGAAACATGCGGAACAAGAATTCTTGCAACATGCGTTGGGATCCTTGACGGAAGCAATCGAGTGGTTGCTGGAGTGTTGGACACAAGATGATGATGACGAGGAGGACGACGACGACGACGAAAAAATGGAAGATGCCAAGGTAAAGGGATCAGAGGAAGACAAAATAGAGGACACAAAAGAAGAAAGTAGAGCCACAGAAGCGAAACAAACTACAAATGATCCGCCTAGAGTCTTGGCGTCGCTCTTGTTGACAGCGACATCTATCTTTTACTATTTACTCCCTTTCACGGATGCCGATAAGAAGGGTGGTGAGGGAGGCGAAGAAGCTGAGGAATCGGGTGAAAGTGAGCCGCGAGACATGCTTGTCACTTGTGGAATTCAACTGATTCATCATCCAGACCCGGCAGTCGCTAGAGAGGCTTCGAATCTTCTGGTGTTAGCATTTGCATATGGTCCAGAAGAAATGTCGGATGACTATGCTGGGGCAATTTTTGAGAGCACCAGGATGGCTTTGGATTTGGTATTCAGTGCAACGGACTCTTCCAAGTTTCATGTTCCGATTGAGGGATTCATTTCAACCTTTGCAAACAAATCGGCAAGCTATGCTGACGCAATGCTATTACTTCTATTATCTAGTGAACAGCAGGACACTTGGAAAATAGATGGGGAAAGAAGGAAGCTAATGGCACTTTATCGATTGGTCCCATTGATTGCTACCGCAAGCCCGAACGCTGCGACTCGTCACTTGGAAAAACTGTTGGAGCTATTGGATACACAACAACCCGGAGATTCAGTGGCACTGCACATTGCAGCTGCGGTGATGGCCTGCCGCAATGCCCAACTCTTTGACTTACCAGGCGACGACACAGAGAAGAAAGTCGTCGAATCTTTTGGAAATGATTTGGCGGTTAGATGGGGTCACTACCTCCTCGCACGGCATGCGATGGTGACTGGGAATTTTGGGATTGCAAAGACACTATACCGACGGTTGTGTTTGTGTCAAATATCGGAACAAAGCTTCGTGTGGTTTTCGGTGTTGGAGAAGATTGCATCATCGGAATCGCTGTTGGCGAACAATGGTGCGAAGGGCATCCCCCATTCGACGGCGGAACTCCGGTCAGCACTGTCGCTGTTATATGAAGCACCATCGTTGCTCGATTCAAAGAGCAACACCTTTGCATTCCAAACGTCCTTCATCAGCCTAAGGCTTGAATTCCTCGACATGCTTGTCACAATACGGCAGCTGGCATGTGAAATGCGACTCACGAATATCGGCCCCAAAAAGAACACTCGTGCCAATCTGCACCTTCGGAACTGCATGCGCCATTTCGACAGCCTAGCGGTAAAGTACTTGACTCTTTACAGACAGTACGGACTATTCGTGGATCAGCAGTCGCGGAGTTCCATCCGCACCTTTCATGCCCTCAGTCGCTTTCTTGCTGATGCAGTGAGACAAGCCTTTTCGAAAGTGGTACCGGAAGCAGCTGAAGCTGCCGAAAGCCAGAAACGGATGGCCAACAAGGGTGCAGAGTCCCATCCTCTGACCCTCCTGATGGTAAAATTGGATGATGCAGTTGTGAAAGAGATAACTCCATCTGTCGACGCCAAGGTCCGGGCCGCTGCAGTGATTGGAATTATTGATCACCTACTTCGAGCCCCATGCCCATTTCCAAGAGATTTCTTTTGCACCAAGTCTATTCCTCGTTCGTCTGTGTGCTTATCAGGCGACCCCGATTCGGATCACACTGACTCGGACTATCTTTTTGACGAGGAACTCGAGGTACCTTTAGGTTCATTGGTTACTTTCAATGTCAGCGGATCCATTCCAGCTGACCTATTGAAAAGGTCTAATCTTCCTTTCTTTGTCATCGTTCTGTGGCATACTATTACACCTTGTGGTCAGGTTGACGAAGACGAACTAGAGCCAGAAGGCAATGACAAAGAAAAAGTTGCAACAATCAAGAAGCCAATCCAAATGACAACAACTGCTGACTTGTCACCAAATGGATCCTTCTTTGTGAAAGTCCAGTGTCACCTGTTTCAAACTGGAAGGTACCGCATCCGCACAAGGCTGGGGTGTCGTGATGTCAGAGGTGGAGAATGGGAACTTCCATTGGGAGAATCCAATCGCTCCATATCCGTCCGGATTCGCTCCAAGGACTAAGTGCGCTACAGACACACAAATGCTACTAATCCTATGAAACATAAAAGTACAATGGACCAATAATGTATGCAGCTGGAATCGATGCTTCTTTTCTGTTAGGTGTTTGAGCAACTTAACGATGTCTAATCCTCTGGCCTGATTGACTGATTTGGGGTGTTCATGCGCCGTTGATAGTCTAACGGAGCACCGTTTTTGCGCTTTGGCCTCCAAGGCTTGGCTGGCAGGTCTGCCTTGAATCGCCAGATTTGCATTCTCCGTGTCATCCTGGTCAACATATTTCCAGTTCTTCCAGGTATTGATTCAATGGCCCTAGGAAGTCGTATGATTGGTCTGTCCACTATGGATCGATTTCCATCTGGCAATTCTGTTAGGAATAGACGTGGTCCGAAGTAATATGCCATGGCAGCTCCTCCCAAAGCACCACCCAAATGCCCCCAATTGTCCACCATTGGATTGAAATATCCAATCGCCAAGTTCATAAGAAAGGTTTGCATGATGGCGCCGGAGAATGCGTCGCCTTGCTGTCCCAAGAGCCAATCGTGGCGATTCAGAAACACCCAAAATCCAGCCTAATATAAGAAAATAAATAAGTGAGTCTTGTCACACAGTAGCTTAAAATTGATGGGCTGCCAACATACCATGACTCCAAAGACAGCACCAGAGGCACCCAAAGCTGGGTTAGGCGAATTTATAGCGGATAGCAAATTACCAGCTGCACCAGCTGCCAAGTAGCCCGTTAAGAATCGTCCAGGACCAAACATCTGCTCTGCGAAATTACCAAGTCTTTGTAGACTATACATATTTGTAAAGAGATGGTAGACTGATCCATGAAGAAAGACTGGGCTGATAAGTCTATAGAGTTCTTCTCCCCTCAAGATCCGGTCCGAAAGTTTTACTCCCAAGCTTGTGACGGATGGTTTCCAAACTTGCAAGGCATACATGGCCACGTTTGCAAAGACAATCTTGGAGGTCCATGAGTACCTGTTTGGTCGGCGGTTATTCAGTTTGACATCCCACAACCGTGCTTTCTTGTCGGTTGCCCAATCGTCATAATCAAGATAGCGGGATGTAAGAGTCGTTTGTCTTGGGCCTGCAGATGTTCTTGGGACTCCATACGTTGTTCGTCCGCTCCTTGGCTGGGGAGTGGTTCTGAAATGGGGTCTTGCAGCTCGTCGAAGCCAGGGTTTTTGTTGAAACGTTTGTTGGCAAGCCGACTGATGCAGTAAACTGAATAGAAGGAGAGCCAAAAAGCTTCTTAGCGAGTGGCGATTCATAATCGACTGTTGAAGTTGATGGTTTGACGTTTTGATTTGGATTGATTTATGGTACTATTGCAATTTGCAGTTTGATCACAGAGTGACTGACTCCTCCGACTAAACTGACAATTACTCCTTCTGAACACAACCGCATACATTTTTTAAAATTTAAAGAAAAACACTATTAATACCTGAAACCTTATTTCGTTCAATCACTCATAATTGCTTCGTCAAACTACACCCTTTCGAGCATTGTAATCGAGAAAGAGCTTGTGCATTTCCAACTGGGCCGCCTCTTCTTCGTTGTCAAAGGGCGTCAGCGTCCAGACCTCCATGTTCTGTATCGCAAACTCGTTACTCAAGGTAGTCTTTTTGCACAGTCTAGGATTGGCAAAGGTTGCACTAGAATTGGTTTCACCACCAGCCAAATCTCCATCGAGCATAAATCCAATCCCCCGCGGCTCATTCTCAAACGGAAACTCATGATCCAACCAATCTCCCCCTCCTACAGCAATTGTCCGGGAGGTGCAATATTGGACCATGTCATCATATCCTGTAAACGGAAATACTTCCATCTCGTTTTCAAAGTCGGCTTCCTGGGCTTGCTCCTCCGTCGTCATGCGTGACTTTTTTAACCGCCACAAAAAGGCTTCCCCACTCCCAAACCATTTCGTGTGCCTCTTCCATGGCGTCCCATTAAAACTCCCAAAGACTTCCCCGTGAGTAGTTTCTACTGCAATGATTGTATAAGTGGATGCTTTGATGGATTCCAGCAGTGTCGCAAGAGAAGCCCCATCCCGCACCAAACTAAATTTCAACCAAAAGTTAGACTCGGAAACCCGGAAAGGAAAAAAGCCACGCATGGCTTCCATTATGCGGGGAGTCAGCACTCGAGGTTCCAATTCCTCTTGCTGTTCTGCTCCTAATATTTGAAAAGGATATTCAATGTCCGCATTGGCAGCCGCCCATCCATCAAATCGCACTAGACCCTTGTCTTGTCGTTGTTTCGGTATTATAGGCACTTCCGGAAAGGCCGATTCCGATGGCTCTTGGACCTCTTCAATTTTCTTTGGCCCACAAGATAGCAGACCACCTTTTTTCCTTTTCGTTTTGGTTGCCTTCGTAGGAGGAGCCGACTGGGCTGTGGTATTTGGCAATGACTCGAGTCTAGAAGCCGCCGTTTCTAGTGCTGATATCTGTTTGGTGTCCATTCCAGACCCTTCCCCGATACCCGCAGCCTCTGCATCTCGTAGTAGCGCCAGTATAAATTCTTGGTCACTCTTATGTAGACGTTTGTTGACTAGGCCATCCTTAAGCATGCGACAGGCCTTCAAGTATCGTTCTTTGGTATCAAAACTCACATCACTACCCATATCCGAAAGATGATCCTCCTCCTCTTCCATGGGAGAGAGAGGAGCAGTAGCTTGGGTTGCCGGAGTTCCAAATGCATTGAATTCTTTATCACTACATGCGTTAAAGTCGTCATCACCGGGAATTGCCGATGCATCTAGACAAGTAAAAGGATCCAGTTGCAACAATTCTTTCTCTTCATTGGACAAAACGTTGGGCTTCGTTGGAGTAGAGTAAGGCTCCACTCCAATACCACTATCGACAGACCCATTCTCGTCCATTCCGCTGGATACGATTTGTGATCTTTGTCCCTGTCGCCTTCCTTTTTCCTTTTTGAAGTCTGTATCACTACATGCATTGAATTCGTCATCACCGGGTAATAGCGATGTATCCAGACAAGTAAAAGGATCCAGTTGCAACAGTCGTTTCTCTTCATTGGACATGACGGTGGGCCGCGTTGGAGTAGAATAAGGATCCAGTCCACCAATACCGCTATCAAAAGACTCATTCTGTGACACAATCTGTAAATTTTGTCCCTGTTGCCTTTTTTCATCATCTTGTGACAACGACGTGACCAATCCACCACACTGGATAGTCGGTTGGAATCGTTCAAAGGTCGATCCTTGTTCTTCGCTCCTCGAAGCGCGTGGTGCCTTTGTCGGCGTCGTTACCGAAGGATGCAAGATATTGCCGTTCTCTGGATGCAGCGGTGGATGTTTCGATATTTCATAAGTATTGTTCAAGCCATCGTGCGGCGTTTGCTTTTGTCTCCAATACTTGACTGCCTGTGCATCGTCATCACTGTTGTTGTTGTTGTTGTTGTTGTTGTTGTGAACGACGTGACGATTATGTATGGCAGTCTTCTTTGGAGCGGTAGGAGCCTTTCGTGGATTATTACGTTTCTCCTGTTTCTTTCGCTTGGAGCTGCCACAGCAAAAGCAAGTAGACATGATGATGCTTGCTTTTTTTTGGAATGTGGTGTCGCTGATGATGATGATGATGATGATGATGATGATGATTCTTACAGTGTTCAGGTTTTAGTTATTTTAGGGGGCAGTCTTCGGGTGAGTCTTGCTTCCGAAAATTTGGCCATCATTTGGCCTGCTAAACAGGAATTTGGAATCTTCGCACTCCAAACTTCAAAGTTCAAAGTGGACACATTGGAGAGTCAGTCACCGTATCATGACAGACGAACCCAACATCATTCAAATTTGTGAACATCGAAACACAGAAATCAAAGCACTCAACATGGTGCTTTACGTTGTCGGCTTGGGTCTAGGAAATGAAAAAGTAAGAAGAAAGGAGCAGCGTGACATCGCTACTTTCCAAAAGCTTCAACAGTGCACACATGTTCTGAAAAAACCCTCTAAATGATTCTTTCTACCCCGATCTACACTCCTTCCATCATCATCATCGCCACTGAAAATCACAGGATATTACGGTTCGCGGTTTGGAGATTGTCAAATCTTGTGATCACATTTTTCTCGAAGCCTACACTTCGATATTAGGCGGCGTCCCAAAGGAACGTCTTGAAGAATTCTATGGCAAGCCCGTTACCATCGCCGACCGTGGCATGTGTGAGAACGACGCGGACGACTTGATCATTGAACCCGCCAAGGACAAGAATGTCTCCTTTTTGGTAGTAGGGGATCCTGTATGCGCCACAACACACACGGATTTGATTCTGAGAGCGAGAGAAGTCGGCGTCAAGGTCGAAGTGGTACACAATGCTAGCATCATGGGGGCGGCTGGGTCGTGTGGGTTGCAATTGTACAATTTTGGACAAACAGTGAGCATTCCATTCTTTCGGGAAAACTGGAGGCCTACTTCGTTTTATCCCAAGATCAAGTACAATCGGCTGGGCGGTATGCACACGTTGTGTCTGCTCGATATCAAGGTGAGGCACAATTTGAGGGCACAATAATATTGTGGTCCGATGTGGCAGTAGTATAGCATTTTCAGCAGGTTCTCACAAATTATGCAACGCAGGTAAAAGAACCAGATTTCGACGCCATGATGAAGGGAAAGACAAAATTTCTTCCTCCCAGATTCATGTCGGTCAGTACGGCGGCAGAACAATTGATTGAAGCGGAAGAAACAACCGAGGAGGAAGCGTACAATGTGGAAAGTACACTTTGCATTGGATTGGCACGAATGGGACAAGAGACACAAAAGATGGTGGCTGGAACTTTAAAAGAACTATCACAGGTGGATATGGGCGAACCATTGCACTCGCTCATCATCTGTGGGGAACTACACGACTTGGAGTTTGAAGTGGTCAAGGAATTCTTAATAGAAGGTTCCAGTTTCAGCATGGAGAAACAAGAATCCTAAACTGCACTGTAAATATCAATATTACTGTACACGAATGGTGTTCAACTCTTTTTTACACTTGCTTGAGTACTGGTATGCCATGAGAGAGGATGAAGGCCAAACAGAGAATAACAGTATCAAGCATAACACCGGTACCTCCCAGGAACTTAGATTGACATTTGGGGTTCGGAAACCGCGCGACGCACGATAAAAAAAAATGTCACGATTGCTTGGATATTCACTTGTGACAACGATCGTCTTGTTTGCCGACAATTCAATATATACTTTCATACGACCGAAAAGTTGTGGTATAGTATAGGCAAACTGAAACAATTCAAATGTTTGGGCGTCAAAATGGATGATCTTATATAGTAGTGTTACAGAATTTATGTTCAAGGTGTCCTTGATCAGAGGACGATTTCTATTGTGGGATATGTTCATCGTTTTAGCTTTTGTAGAAAGCTTTTCTTTGCCAGCAACCTTTTGGCATCCTTTTCGTCTTGAAGGCCAACTTCAAGGGCTGCTTCCCGGCTCTTGAATGTTTGCATTTGGTATTTGATGGCGATGACTTCATCATCGGTGATGCCATCTTCCCATTGTTCTTCTTGTGTATCCCAGACGGTCTGGAACCCGATGCGTTTGTTTAGCTTTCGTTGTTTGGCGGCTTCGGGAGCTCGGTGCTCAAGTCCTCGGACGTCATCATCCTTTTGCAAGGTATTTAGCATCATTCTCTTGATTACCTGCACGGCATCATTCTTGATGGCTTGGCATTCTTCTTGGTTATACCAAGTTGCCTGGATCACTTCTTGACTCAACTCAAGACGATGGGGGATTTCTTGGACCTGGACATGATCATTGAATGACAACAACAATGATGATCTCTGTGTTGAAGCTGCTTTCTTGGCTTGGGTGTGAGCAGGATCTGCCGTTCTCAGTTCCTTGTTTGAGGAACTGTACGTTCTTTGGACGAGAAGGGGCATGATGATTATCTGTAAGGGTATGTATGTCCTTGTGCGAGTTTTTGTGAATTTGTCTCTATTCTGGTTTTATGCGAGCTATTGACGACGAATATCAGTTTCAAACGAAAAATCTGAGAGGGAACTGAGAAAAAGAATCGGTAGAAGTCATTCTATGACCAAAAACCATTAAATGATATATGTTCTCCATCCAGACTTTTCCATTCGAATTCGAATAAAGAATTCCGTTCACCCTTTTCCAGCCCGTTTCTAGTACCGGAGCTGCCAGGAGGTACTTAGTACCTCGTACTGTGCCAGATTGTCAAGACTCCTTTTCACTTGGTGTTTATGTCCTTGGGCCTATTTCGATGACGTTGATACTAGTTCAAACACTGGTTCACTTGGTTATTATATCATTGGGCCTATTCGACAATTGCTTTCGATGTCATTTGGCATTTTGACACATCGAAAAGAACAGTTCGAACGCTATTAATTTGAGCGCCGGGCCTGATTTGAGAGAGTATGACATCAGCATCTGGCGCTCACAACTTCGACAATAGTACTGTGCTGACTTTTCCTTGAAAAAGAGTCGTTGCTAGTGAGAGAGGTCCTAAACTAGACGTTAAAAATTGATAGTTCTTTGTTCTAGCTGAGGTGTTCGGTGTTCACACCCGGTTGACTTCTGAAATGTCAAACGTTGGGGCCTTGGTTCCGGTGAATCGCTCATACGCCAATCTAGTTGGTGCCTCCTTGAATGAGTCTTTTTCTCTTGCTGAAAGGATATCGTCAAACCCTCGCTTCATTTCGTCTTGTACCAATTGGTAGGCGTCTTGGCAGGATGCTTTATCGGATGGATCCAGGTCCTTTGTTGAAAGTGGCTTTCCAAAAATGAAATAGTTCCGCGACGGCAATCCAGGCGCTACGATAGGTGGCAGAAAGACCTCATCCTCATTTGCCGCATCGAATCGGGCAGCCGTCACATTTGCAGCAAAAGCCATGGCTCGTTCGCCAATTATTGGCAAATTTCCAACTTCCGACGGATCCAATATCGTATTGATACTATCGGCCATACCTACTGCACTAATGGGAACAATGGTAGCGTTGAATCGGGCCGCCGTCCGGACAAAGTCTACCTTTTTTGGCCAAAAGAGTTGGTAGGCTTCGTCGCGGCCGTGAAAGACTTCACGAACTCCTCCTGGAAATAAGAGAGCATTCTGCCCTGACTGCATTACTTTATAAAAGTTGCGAGGTGTAACCATGACGGCTCCATAGGTTTGAAAGTTGGAAGGGTTGGGACCAGAACCAGAGGTTTTGCGTTGTAGACCAGGGGTGCGTCCACCCAGTTCGTCGACTCGACTTGAGGAGCCAGGGGCGGACTGGAATACAATGGGATGGGCCAAGCCTCTTACAACAATGTCATTTTCGATCAATTTGGAAAACAGCAAATTAAGATCTAAACCCACTGCAAAAATAACAAAACCAAACCAACAGTGTCAGATTAGCGTACTGTACAAGATAGAGATTATCACCATAGTACTAGATCATTGTCATGGAACTTACACAGTTGATGATTGGCCACAAAGAGGATAGGGCCATCGTCTTTTGGAATATTGGCAAGGCCAAAGGAACGTTTGCCATTGGTATCTGTACTCATGTACACCGGACTAAAGGCAGTTTCCAGAGGTTTGATCATCGTTTCTCGGGCCTCGTCGATAACTTCTTGTTCCGGCATCTTCCAATCCAAAATTGGGTCAAACTTTTTCTTCGTCTTCCTAAAATCCAAGGGATCTAGTTTGGAATACAAGATTGCTTCGGTCAAGTTGACGTATTCGTCCAAGACAAAATGCCCTGCATTCCGAACGACCAAGGTCTCCACTTGAGGCAGCTTCTCCTGTAAGCGCTTGACTTCACCGCGTGAATCGATAAGCTTGTCTTCGTTGCCGACTACTACCAGTGCAGGGACATTAATGTCCTTTAGTCTGGGAAGGACGATGTCCGATCCGACAAACAGCCAGTTCTTGATTCTGTGGTCGAGTAAACCAGGGGGCAATGTTTCTTCCGTCAATTCAAACGATTTGAGCATGTCTTGGATCAGATCGAAAATACTGGATGGATTGGAGATACTCGAGGCAATATTTTCTTGAAAGAGATCCACAATCCGTTGAAATTGTTCCGAGCTAGGAATTAGGGCCGACAAGGTCAAGCCTCCAATGATCGCATAGGGCGATGGCAATAGGCCTCCAAAAGGAAGACTTCTTCCTTCAGCAGGGGATGTCAAGAATCCAATGCTGCTTAGTATTGGTGCCAGGACATCCCAGGAGGTTTGATCAAAGGAAGTGGCAGGGTTCACCATGACCAACCCACCAATCGGATTGTCACGTCCTTCACGTTCCGCCTTATTTTGCACATTTAATGTAATAGCTGGTGCCAAGAGTCCCCCAAAACTTTCGCCAATCAAATAAATGGGTCGTCCAGTACTTGCACTTAGTTTTTCTACCATTTTGGAAACGGATGAAACCACAGTGCTAAAGGAGGATCGATCTTCAATGGCAATGGAAAGACGCCACAGATCAAAAGTTCTAGCCAGGTCATTAAACTGCCAAGTAGCCGCAGAGATTCCAAAGCCGTCCAATCCAGGAAGATAGAGAGCTAAAGGTTTGTCTGCTCCATGTTTGTTGGCCACTTCCAAAAATAGATTGTCGCTGTCGTCATCCTTTTCAAACTGCATCATGAGTTCGGCATCCAAGTCCAAGACATCGGTCCAGTCTTGATTCTCTTCTTGTGGTGGAGTGACATGGGATATCCGAAGCGTGGGTGATAATTGTTGGTAGACGGATGCTTGCTCTCCCAGAATGGAATATAAACTTCGAAAGTCTTGGCCCATTTGGTTCACCGACGGTGGGGAACTTGAGGCCAGCAATGCCGTTGTGACTTGTTTGGTGAGGCCCCACATGATTCAGTCAAGCTACGTACAGATGATGTGATAGATTGGGGATGTGATTGTTTGGTGGTTGGGCAACGACAGCAAAGTGTAGAAACATTGATCGTTCCATGTTCCTGATAAACGTTTGCACTGCAGACGACTGACCGATGTTGTGATGACGAAAATGGTTAGTCAGAATTTATTTGATCGAATGAATCAATCAATCAATCAATCCTCAATCTAATCCAATCCAATTTATTTCAATCCCGCAAGATAAAAAGTAACGGACGCTAACGCAACGCAACGACGAACAACGAAGCAACGAACGAAGCAACGAACGAAGCAACGAACGAAGCAACGAACAACGAATGAATGAATCAATCAATCAATCGAAGTGACCAGACTGAAAGCACAATCAATAATAAGCGACCACAGAACTAAAGGGACAATAGCGCATTAATACCACCTCTCCTGCCATCAGTTCCATATCTCATCGTTCCAAGTAATCAAACTGAATCACTCTCGAATTCGCAATTTCAATCAATCAAAGAAACTAACACAGACAAGCCGCAGCAAAGAATCATCATCATGGGTTGTTCTTCGTCTAGCATGGCGCAATATCCGGGAAATCGCATGCCAGCGCAAGCCCCTCACCAACCTGCTGCCAATGAATATAACAAAGATGGTCAAGCGATGTCTCATTTTGTTAGTTACGGTGGTGGAAATGCCTTGGTCTTGCAACAAGGCGGTCCTCAAGTAGGAGCCGTGCCAGTGGGCCATGCCAAGCCTAATAATAGTCCCGAATATGTGCAGGTGACATTGCCTCCCGGTGTGGAACCAGGACAAACGATCCAGGTCCAAGCACCGAGTGGTCGATTGAATGAAATTGTCGTTCCACCGGGCATGGGACCTGGGTCATGCTTTACAGTGGAGTTTGCCGAAGCGGAAGAAAACAAGACGTATGGTGGTTCAACAACAGCATATGCTTCCAACAACCAAACAACCTCGTACACTCCTCCAGGTGCTGTCCCCACTACAACTGCTATTCCAGCCAATGATACGGTGCGTCCAGTGTCCCTTCCAAACGGTCAGGAACATGACGATGGATTTGCCACGGGTTTCAATAACAACAACAACAACAACAATGCCTCTTTTGTTCCCACTTCGGCTGCCGCCACGAATGATTATTCCTCTTATCCCAGTGCCAATGATGCTCGTCCGGTATATAATGCTCCTCCTGCCTATTCGACAACCACCTATTAAATGATGGATGGGACGACCATTGATCATTTTTTAGAGAAATAGAAAAACTTGGTGTTTTGCGTAAACTTTTTCCTCTTCTTTTGTCATTACCATTGTGAGTGCTGGTTTCCTTCGTAGATGACATAATAGTAAACCTCACAAGCGATCTAGTGGAATGACCAACACAGTTATCGAAAGTAGACTTTGCAACATGGCTCAAGATATTGTACAACTACATCGATACAGCTACACGATTTGCTTCTTTCTGTACGTCTCTTCGCCCCTGATGTGGACGAGGGCCTCCTAGGGCCCGAAATACAAAGACAAATCCAGACGACATGAACTTGTTATGGGTATATAATAAAATTGGTAGCTCTATCCTAGGCATGAATATACTGGTTCCTCGATGCTGGAACCTTGATCTGCTTCAGGCTGTTTTCCTTCGACATTGATTCTATCGATTGCATAAGCTCGTTAGCCTCGACAGTATACGGGTGATCACGGCCAAAGAGTGCCAAAAAGGTATCAAGAGCATTCTGACCATGAGTGGTCGCTTCTTCAAGCTTGCCTTGCATAAAGAAAATCTGACTAATGCTTTGGTAAGTGTGAGCTGTATCCTCATGGCCTGATCCACAAACTCTCAGTTGTATTTGCAATGCCTTCTGGCACATTTCCATTGCCTCCTCGAACTTCCCCTGCTTGGACAGTGTAAATCCCATTTCACTGTAAGTACTTGCTGTGTCGAGATGATCTGGTTGAAGTGCCTTCAATCGAATCTCCAGAGCCTCCTGGTACTGTGTCATTGCTTCATCCAATTTGTTCTGTCGATGGAAGACATTGGCAATATTTTTGTACGTATTTGCCGTCAACGGATGAAATTTTCCAAGAGTCTTCAATCGAATCTCCAGCGCCTTGTGATATAGAGTCAATGCTTCCTCTGACTCCATTTCACTGTCTCGTATAAATGCCATGCTGCTATATGTCTGTGCTGTAGCTGCATGCTCTGGTCCTAGCGTCTGCAATCGAATGGATAACACCTCGTCGTGCACTACCATTGCTTCCTCCAATTTTCCCTGATTCTGGAGGAGAGATGCAATGTTCGTGTAGGTCATTGCAGTTACTTGATGGTTCGGTCCAAGCGCTTTCGATCGAATGTCGAGCACCCTTCTGTATAGTTCCGTCGCTTCCTCCAATTTTCCCTGATTCTGAAGGACGACAGCAATGTTACTGAAGGTTTTAGCTGTCTCTAGATGATGAGGTCCAATTGTAGCCAATCGAATGTTGAGTGCCTTGTGATATAGGGTCAACGCTTCCTCTAGCTGGCCTTGATCGAAACGTATAGATGCCATTTTGGTGTAGGCTTGTGCCAAATCTCGATGTTCAGGTCCAAAAACCTTAACTTGAATATCTAGCGCCTTGTTGTGGTGCACCATCGCTTCCTCTAGTTTGCCTTGCTTTCGTAGAATAGTTGCCATATTTTTGTAGGTATCTGCTGTATCACTATGTTCTACTCCAACAGTCTTCAAGTAGATGTCTAGCCCCTTCTGGTAGGTTGCCACCGCTTCGTCGAATTTCGCTAGGTCTTTCAGGAGATCTGCCGTGATGGACAAGGTGACTGCTGTTACGTAATGATCAGGTCCGGTCCTCAGTTGAATATCGGCTGCAAGTTGGTACATCTTCAAAGCCTCTTCTTTTTCGCCTTGGTTGTCAAGGATTCGTGCAATTTTGGTGCACGTGTTTCCGGTTCTTCTGTGATCCTTACCAAGGGTTTTCAATTCAATATTCAGGCAATTTTTGTACAGTGCCAATGCAGTATCCAGCTTGCCTTGCACATGGTTGATGTTTGCCATAGCGTTGTACGTCCTTGCTGTATCTTCATGGTCAGGTCGAAGTAGCAATCGAATGTCTAATGCATTTCCATGCATTGTAATCGCCTCCTCCAGTTTGCCTTGTTTCTCCAATAGAACTGCAATGCTGGCGTACATTTTTGCTGTATCCAAATGGTTCTTTCCAAGAATCTCCAATCGAATTCCCAGAGTATTCTGGTAAAGCTCCATTGCCTCTTTTAGTTTACCTTTCTTCTCACGCTTTGCTGCCTTTTGGGACATTGAAACCGCTTTTCCAAGTCTACCTTGATTGTGCAAAACATTTGTCATTTTGTTGTAAGTTTCTTCTGTTCTGCTATCATCGGGTCCAAAGGCCTTCAACCGAATATCCAGCGCTCTTTTGTATAGCCCCATTGCTCTCATTGGTTGGCCTTGCTTTTCTAAAACAGTTCCCATGCTATTGCAAATATCCGCTGTCAACTCATGGTCAGGAACCTTCGGGTCATTGTCCAACGCCTTTTGGTACAGTGCTAGTGCTTTCTCCAACTCGCCTTGCTCTTCCAAAACAAGCCCCATCTTAAAACAGGCACTGGCTGTATATACATAGTCCGATCCCATAGTTCGCAAGCTCATTTCAAGATCCTTCTGATGCATTGCTGACGCTCCGTCCAGTCTTCCATGTTTTCGAAAGAGGCGTCCCATTGCCATGAAGATTTCTACGGTAACTGGATGGTCCAATTCGTCTTTCATAAGCTGTTGTTCAAGTTGGAACTTGCATTTACCCATGGCTTGGTCAAAGGTATCTTCGTCCGTGATCACGAGATTCGGTAGCTCGGGCGAGAAATATGTGCCATCGTTTGCGGCTTTGGGTTGAATGATGCCGTCGATGGACTTTGGAGAATTTTGCGTCGAGTCTTTCATCGTTGGGGCTTTTTGGTCGCTTTCTTGTTTGCGGTCAAGAGAAAGCTTGCTTTCATTTTTTTCTGATAAATAAAAGTATAGAAGGAGACATACGATATTGAGCTTTTATCTCGGTTCCAATTGCCTGTTTTGTAGCATGGTTCTGTTTCACTCACCAGTGTTTGGACCTTTCAAGACTTTGGGTTGCGTCTCTGCGAAAAGCTTGGAAAATACTTCTTTCGGTATTCGAAATTTCATTGTCTATGACTGCTGCCTGCCTGGTTCTTTGTATATCCTTGTCGGTTCGAAGATACGGGGTCATCAATAACGTAGGTGAAATAGGTTCTTGGTTGGATGCGGGGGGAAATCACTCACTCTCCAGACAGACATCATGAGCGCGCCACGAGTTCTCATTATATTACTGTAGGTAGCAGGTACCGGTACGAGTAGTGGGCTAAACGCCCGGGTCATGCAGAATTTTCTTCTAATCAAACAAGTCGACAGCTGAAGATCACGAAACATTACGAATGGCGAGGATGTGGTTATTGAATACACTATTGCAGGGTTAACTAGCAGACTTGACTTTTAAAAAATATATTGGTACAGTACAATTACGGGTAGTCTTAGGACTACCTATAACAAGTAGCGATCACTTTTGATCACGTTTCCAGAGCAATGACGAGCAATGAGCAATAACAAAAGTTTTGTTCTGGTTATGCCTGTCAGCCTGTTCTTCAATCGTTATTGCGTTTCTTCTTCCTAATCATCTTCTGATATCACTGAGAGTGATTCTTAGTGGCTGCCATCCTCTTCGTCACTGTATTCGTCTACAATTCCGTCAGAATCTTTCATTTCTACCCCTTGAATCGGTTCATAATCTTCCGATTGTCCAGTCTTTCGGCGATACTGGCCTGTGAAAACAATCAATAGACCAACAAGAATCAAACTAATGGTTCCCCCAAGCATCATTTGGCTGTCCTTGTTTTCCATCAGATCGTGAAAACTGCTAGACGACTCAACCTTGCCATCCACGAAATTGCACACCTCGCGTCCTTCGCACTCTGCTGGAATATATATTTTAGAATCGTCGGGACTTTTGGACATCAAGGCTCCAATTTTGACCTCGGTAAGCGTCAATGTGGGTTGTATCTGAGCATGCGAATAAATTCCAGAGGAAGAACCCTTACCGATTGGTCTAAAGTGAAATTCCAATTCATCGCAGTGCCACACCTTGTTGTACTGAGGAACTTGGATGCTCGAATCGACATACGATTCGACATTCCAATGCAAATATGAATAAGAAGGAGACGAGGGTGAGAGCTGGTCTGCCATCCAGGCATTGTCCAATTTCCACGCATATGCTGCAGTTTGCCTCCAATCTTGGTCGGGCCGTATCAAAACCAGCCTAATACTGCGCTTTTCGGGATGCTCAATTTCAGAGGATGTCAGCAGAATTTCCATGCCTATGGGCGTCGTGGCATTGACGGATATCGTGTCGAGTTCCATGGAAGATCCATCTCCAAAAGTTGCTTGCATGGACGAGGCTTCGATCCAAAAGTCGTCGTTTTGAAAGGAAAAAATATTTTCAATGATGGCGTGCAAATTTCTGGAATGACCCATGGTGAATAAATGATATATAAAAGGACACTATGAATGTGCTGGTTTTGATAGACAACCAACCACTTGCAAAGAATGAATGAATCCTGGTGATAATCGATGTTTTGGCGGCTACTGTAGAAGAAATTGTGGCGATGCAATGATAATTGACTGACTGACTCGTGATACCGTGCAGTCGAATGTGTCAACATTCTGAGGCAGCTCGGAAGCGGAAGGAAGATGTTGCATAGCAAACCAGAAATATAGTTGAGACTAGGATCCTGCCAGCTTGCCAAACAATGGAAGGTCAACAACGTCATCGAAGGCGACAGCGAGCTCATTCGCACTGGTTTTTCAACTTTGATGATATTACTGCTATTCAGGGAGGTCTGTCAATCATAAATTACATTTTACACTCCTACTTCCATTTTGGATTTCGAAAGTTTGATTATTAGTCTTCATCACCATCCTCCAATTGGTCTTCTTGTCGGTGTTTCCTCCGCTCAGATACGATTTGTCTGGAACTTTCCCAGTCGCGCTCACTCATGGTCGATGTGACATAATCAAATCGAGACGAAGACAACCCCAAAAAGCCTGCTACTGGTTTGCCCATTTTATCCACCATACGAAGTGCCGATCCCCCAGCAGCAACTGATCGATGCCATAGCTTCAACTTGAGAGGCAACACCTTGGGATCCACTGGTGCTTCTTCCGAATTATCACTATCTTCCCAATAGTATTGTTTAGGAATGGGGATTAGTTTTCGCGTCGCCCATTCAAAAGGGTCCATCAATTCGTCATTCATGTCCACTTCTTCCACTTCCATCAGTTCTTTGGGAATTGGACGCTGAGGAACAGATGATGATTGTTCCTGATCTATCGAAGAGTAATCGTCGAGCTTGGTGTGATGTTGCGTTGTGATTAAAATGGTTGTGTCGGAAGATGAATTGGCGTCTTCCATGATTGGTTCCTTTTGTCTTTTTCTGCCGTTGTGAGTTTCTTGGTATGTTGGTATTGTTGTTTGTGTTGTACAGTGAAGGATGCGGATTCGTCGACGGCTTTTGGATTGTTTGTTGTTGTCGTATCAGTAATCGTCATTGCGACCAGCCTTCTTCAGTCGCGTTTTGAGTCACGTGACATATAGTCGAAAGAATTGAACCGATTTAGTCGCATAGGTCGATTTATTGAACCAGAAATCGATAGATGCGACTTCAACTGATGGGCAGCAAAAGAAGGAAAGGTGGATACACCGACAGCACAAGTTGCAACACAACATTATGAGTCTTTCCTTTGTTTCCTCCGCCGTCCAAACGGGACGATCCGATGGAGGTTATGACGAGGTTCAAATTGAAAGCAAAGAAAAGGAGGCCGTCAACAAGCGGAACGAACACAAGCCACTCTTCGAACAATTACGGAAAAACCAAGAAGAGGAAGATGCCAAACAGGAAGAAATGCAGTTGCAAATGATGAGAGGGACTTGTGCCTTGGACGAAGACGATGTGGCTTATTTGGATTCCTTGGAGAAACGAAAATTGGAAAAACAACGAGAAATTCAGCAACAAACTCAAGATGAAATTGCTATGTTTCGAGCAGCACGAGTGCAAAAACAGGAGTCTACCTTGGACGATGACGATGACGATGACGACGACGACGAAAGTGATGGATCAATAGTGCCACTAGAGAAAAAGATGAAACCAGTGGAAGCTGAACCTTCCAAAGCAGCCGCCCCAGTAGTTAAGAAAGGACCCATGATTGTAATCAAGAAAAGGAAACGAAAGGGTGCTACTGCTGAACCAACCAATAAGCCCAAGGCTCTTGAATCCAAACGGAAAGAGCAACCAGAGGAGAAAAAAGGAGAACCGAAGCAAGAGAAAGCCGAAAAGAGCAACCAAGGGGGTGGATTGGGTGGACTTCTTGGGGGGTACGGTTCTTCTGATGATAACAGCGATTAAGTAAAAATTGGCAATGTATTTTACAGCTTTAGGGGCATCTATTGATACAAATCAGCTCACCAGTATGGTATCCTAATTCGATTTACTCCATGCTGATCATCTTTCCGTCAATGAGGATATTGCTCTTCTTGCTTTTGGGAACCTGCAACAAGAGTTCTTTCAACATTTTCTTTGACTTTTTCGACAAGCCCATCTCGGTTTCCAGCTGCTTTCGAAGGGATTTCAGCTTCATCTTTCGATCTGGCGCTTTCTTGAGTGCCTTTTTCATCAGCTTTTTCACCTTTTTCTTGTCAACGGATTCACTCGAAGTTGATGGCGGTTCTTTACTTTGCCCCTTTGACTTTTTGGTGTCTTCATTGTCGCCAGCGCTGTCATCGTCGCTATTATCTGCGACTGCTGTCTGTTTCGTTTCTCTTCGGTTTTTCTCTCCATCTTCCTTTTTCCGAAGTTCTACTTCGTGCTTCTTCTTCGCCTCCTGCTCTTGCTTGGCCGCTGTTCGCTTTTCGCGTTCCGCCTTAAGCAAATTCCAGACTTCTCCTACAATGGCTTCTCCTCGGCCTCTTAGATTCAATGAATTCATGGTGAAGTTGCGAAATTGCTTCTCTTTCCGCGGGATATTGTCCAAGTCTGTCATGGTTTCCAGATAGTTTTTGAGATGGGCGGGTGCTGATTGGGCGCAAGTTTCCACGATGTCCATCCATTCCTCTTGAGGATTTCGCTTTTTAGGTTTGTACAATTTGCCCTCGTAACGCTCGGCTTCGCTGATGCATGAGGTGTGTGCTCGGTAGTCATCTGGATTGATGACAAAAGATAGAGTAGCGACAACAAAAAAAGTAAGGTAATTGACATTCGGGAAAATAGTGAACAGAAAATACCAATTTATTCCTCAGAGTTTAATTAAAACATTTGGTGATACTCCCAATGACAATATGCCAAGTCGAGCTATCAAGAGTTTTGTCGTCATGGGAAAAGAAAGATCGCCCAATTCACAAAAACACATTAAACTTACCGCCAAAGAAGGAAACGCTGCAGTCAACACAACTCACGGAAGCACACTGCCGACATCTTGCAGCATGTGTATCGACTTTGCTCTTTTTGAATGTTTCCCCACAACCGTCGCAGCAGAAAAATACCATTTTGTTGATATTTTGCCTATGTTTGCTCTGTTGTCAAAATTGTTGGATGGTTTCTTGGTTGTCAGTTTCTGCGCGTTTGTTTCGCGCGATTGACTCCCGCGATACAGTACCAGTACACGTGTACCGGTATTGGTACCCTTGCCCGAAAGTAATGGAACTGTACACTTAAATCGAAAAATATATTGAACTTTCAGGATGTCCTGCTTTCTAGTAAGTTGTCAATTTCTAGTAATGCTGATTACTCATAATCTACTACTCCTGATCCGTATTACCTTCGCTTCCGCCGCGCTTAGAGGATACCAAAAGTCCTTCAAAGCCCAACTGGGCATAGCACCGGAAAAGAGACGAGACCTCCGCTTCGTTGCCTTCTGCCAACGCAATATCTGAGATTTGCTTGAAGATTCCATAGGGAAGAATTCCGTTGCGTTGACCATAGGGCAAGGCCTTGGCGATCTGCATGACAAAGGAAAATTCAATCTGGCTCTTGTCTAAGCTCGCGAACTCACGAAACACGAGTTCCATTACCACAACGGCCGATGGAGTCTCGTATCCGACAAATGCAGCGAGCAAGCGCTGGATTGTTTTGCGTCTGGTACCATACGGTGGAAAGAGATCGCCACGCTCCATGATGGTCCGCCCAATCACTTCCAAAAGATTGGTGTTTGTGACTCCCCCCTTGGCAAAGGCCACTGCCACATCAACCAAGTTTCGGGAGTCCCAACGATCAATCTCGTAAGGATTGGAAAGGACAAGAGATGCAATCATGCAAAAGAGATGATCGCTAGACTCGGAAAAGGATTCTATTGTCGAAAAGATCTCCAACAAATTGGCAACCTCTTGGGGCTGGAAAGTATCCAGGATTAATTCTGCAGCTTCTGCAGCAGCTGTAAATACATCAGCCATGTCAAAGCTCTCGACCTTACTAAATGCGCATGTGATCGTGATCAATTCATTCGGCTCATAAGACGGCATTCTGTGAACAACGGCTGATTTTGCTGCTTGAAACAAGGCCTCATGTACATAGTCCACGTTTACAAATACCGAGAGCAATTCTGACATGGGCCAGGCGTCTAAAGTGTGCAAGAACAGAATCTCTTTTTCAGCAATGGTATCCAAAAGATCTGGGTTCTTGTATCCGCACTTTGCAAAACTGTTGGCAAAGTGACAAAGGCTCATAGTGTTGAAGTATTCGACTTTATGCATGATTGTCTTGGAGGCTGCATCAAAGAGGTCTTTGCAATCATGTTCCGAGTTGGCAAAGGCACCAATGAGTAGGTTCATATCCTGGGGTCGAAAGGTATCCAAGAATGGAATTGCTTTTCTCTCAATGGCCAAAAATAGCTCCCTGTCGTAATGATTGGTACGAGTGAAGGCATCCACAACGAAGCAGAGTGATTGCGAATTGAAATCTTTATTTTGCATTGTGGAGGCTGCGATCTTTGCGGCTCGATCAAAAAATTCGAACGAGTAGGAATTAGTTTTTGCCAATGCCAATAGCATGTTGGAAAGACCTTCGGGATTGAAATCTTCAATCACGGTAACACCATGCTCGGCTGCCTTGCGAAAGAGTTCCGCGTTACCAACATGGCGTTTGACAAGAGCATGCAGTGTCATGGAAACGTCTTTGGCACTGGCCTCGTGTAGGGTGACCAATGCTTGGTCGGACAGCAAAGTAAGAATAGCTCGATACAAATCGACCACTTTTGATGCGAAGTTGGACTTCGAGAAGACGTGGAGCAGAATGGCGACATCACGAGAGTTCATCTCCGTTTTGAATTCACCTAGCTTTCTGAGAGCAGCGCGAAGGTAATGGGGAGATTTCAAGATCTTCCCATTCGCTTTTATCAGTCTTCCGAATTCCTTCACCGTTTTGCAATTCTTGATGCTTTCTTCAAACTTGGACTTGGTAGGACTATCGAACGCGTCGTTGCTCTCGAATTGCAGCTTTTGGAGCTTGGGAGAGGGAGTGACCTTCCTCGTGTGTTGTGGTTGGGTGTTGGTTGGAGAATGAAACTGCATCTTGATTGTTGGTGTGAAAAATGACACTAAAGAACGAAAAGTGTGAGTTCGAGACTGTTATAAACAACTTTGTCCTGCAAACTTCGAATCGCCTTTTCTAAGGTATGTTTAGACTTGTTCGGTGTGGTCGCTGCTCTTGTTGTTGTACTTGCTGGGAGCGCTGGTGCAATTTTCGTTCCTTTCGGATTTTGTGTTGATTTGTGAGAGTGAAATCTGGTCGATCTGGGAATCGATTTTAGTCCGATGAATCAAGAAAAACAGACGAAAATCGCTTCCCAAGTGGGACAAAAGGTACATCGGTTCGTCTTGGTATGAAAGTGGCTCTTCTTTAATTTGCAACTACAAACTTTGCCACATGAAGTGAAGCAAAAAGTTGTAGAGTTGCTGGATAGCAATTTGGCGCCGTTCGGGAGCTACCGAATCATCCTTTTCCACAAGACTAACCATTTCAATCGTCCTCTTCAGATGGTTAATGCCAAAGAGCAAGAACAGGTCCGCCGACGAAAGATAAAATAGGTGCGAGGTGATCTTCAAGCTTGATTGGATTGGCGACAAGAGGCCCGACTGCGACCAGTGAGACGACATCAAGGAATCGTCGTCCAAAACCCAATGTGGCGCAAACGCTGGATCATGATGCATGGCATCGCACAGAGAATCCCAATTGACATCCAACAAGACCGAAGGATTCATCAAGCTGCTTTTGAATTTGCTGCTGTTGCTATTTTTGCGGTGTCCTAGTAGTCGATCTTGCACCTCGCGGAGCCTTCTTGCATGGGTCAGGGCCAAGAGTTCTTGAATTTCCGCTTGCATAGATATTGGTGCCGGCTCTTGCAGTTGTGTTGGCGAAGACAGCAACCGCCACAATGAATCCTTCAATAGATCTCGAGCAGCCGTCCGCAGTGCTTTGAAGGCCATCCCCGAAGATTCCAAGACGATATTGTCCAGAATACGAATGGCTACATTCGATCCTTCCCGGAACATGAAATCGGCCAAATCACGACCTTGGGTCCGACACAGCAAAACAAGTTGCATTTTACTCAGTTCCGTTTCATTGGACGTCAAGAAACAGACGCCTGGAGCATGAATGAACTGTGAGTTATTCCATCGCACTGGCACGCAACGTGAACATGCAGACACATGCAGACACTGCACTTACAATGAGAACCACGGACACTAATACCCTTCTTGAAACAAAGCCCTTGTTCACATCGAATCATATCCATGTCTTCGGCTTCGGCATACAGCCTTTGAAATAACTCTTCTCCATTAAATTTGCTAATGAATTTGTCGTTGTAGTTCTTAAGAATGACGGCCGCTTCAAACACTCGGTAGTTGAGTTTAGGGATGCTACGTGACGTGTAATGCGTGAGCAAAAAGGAAACAAAAGTCCGAGTAAGACTACTAGTGCTAGATGTTCTAGTACGTACCGTTTTTGCCGTTCCAAAGAAAACTTCGACATCATGCGGCGCATTGTGGGAACAATGTCTTTCAATTCAAATGTTGTTTCTTGGAGCCGCACAGTGCGTTCCATCATGGAGGCATTGAAATCAAAGAGGTTGCGATCGAGGCACAAACGTTGCTATTGAAATGCAACACAAAATGGTTAGAGACTTCCAAGTCCATGAGGACATCAAGGGATCAACACTTGGTCAAAACTTACATGCAACTCATGACCAAGCTTGGCCATTCCCGCTGAATCTTTTTCAATGAACATTGAACTCCGCAGAGTCCCACCGCCTTTTTTCAATTGTGCCTCCCGGGAACGTCTCGGCAGGTTAATCACCGCTCCTTCAGATCGAATGATATCCTTTCCGTCAATCGTGACTCTAGATAATAGCACTGCCACAAACGCCTTACATCCTCGAACATTCTTCACTTCGGAAGAAAGTAAGATCGAGTCATATTCCTTCGAGACACTTCCATTCAACCTGATTGGGACGATCTGCAATCCAGGATTCAAAGCTGCAAGATACCTTGCAAACAGCGGAATGAAAAATTTGCCTGTTCCATTCGGTATTGGCGGAAATGGTCTCGAATCACTCCACGCAAATGCGGCCTTCCGAAACAAGAATTGTCCAACATCCTTCGGAATGGTCTCCTTGTTCTTGATGGGCCACCATACCGTTGCCAATTTGATCAACGCTTTGCTCTGGAGTGTGCTGAGCCGTTGAATTTGAAAGTTCTTCACCATGCATATCATTGAGTAGTCCTGGCTTACCCGAACCAATTCTTCACTCATTTGTGTTTGATCCTTTCGATGCGACTTAGTCGTCTGGGCATCAACTTCGGTTTTCGTTGAGCTTCCAACGTCACCATTTTTCGATGTCTGCCTCGTGAGTCTAGGCACGGGTGGTCGTTTACCAGCTACATTTTTGAATTGATGGTTGGAACTTGCACGCTTCCTAGAGGCTGCGACCGCATGAACTGCAGCTCCTTCAACAGATTTTCCGATCAGCTTTGGTCGCATGAGCGAAACTTGCCGTCGGGTCCGCTTGCTTCTCGGTGGTCGATCCATTTTCGCTGCACTGCCTGAGTTGTTGGATCGTTCGCGATGTGTCAATTGGGCGGTTTCAGCTTCCTGGCGCCTGATGCTCATTGCTCTTGGTCTGTTAAAGCCCAAAGATGGTGCGAGCAAATGTAAGCAGCGTTTTTGAAGGAGACCAACGGAATCCCCGACGTCACGAAGAAATTTCATTTCTAATTCATTCAATCGTTCTGAAAGACTGCCACGGACAAAAGTGCACAAAGGATTGTAAGATGTCGAATGCAAGCCAGGATAAAATACTTTGGGGCTTACTTCGCGAGAACATGTGGGTTGAAGTTGTAGGCCCAAAAACTTCGGCGATTCCGCTTTATGGAAAGAACAAAAGCAAGAGACCTTTGAAATGATCCTGGAAATCTACCTTTCACTTCTTCAAGTGTCTCTATGGTCGGGTTCCTTTCGCTTATACCATCGTGTATCATGATCCCTTCATACACCTGTAGACTGCGATCCATTTTTTTGCGCTCTTCTTCTGTCAACCAGAAGAAGCATTTGTATTCAGGACAGTCGATCGGAGAATCTTTTATGACATCCTTTCCAGGCGAGTCAGTCGATTCTAGAACAACTGCTTCACGCCGCGAATTGTCCCAAGCCAAATTGACCATTCTCGGTGCACCTGATCTTGATAGGCGCAGTATTCGCAAAGAAGAAACTTGATTCCCGAATGGCGGTGACATGTCGATCGTCAGTAGAGGCAGCACGGCCTTCTCGAGTACCTCGAGTGTTGTGGTTGCAACCGATGAAGCGCGAATAACCCCTTGGCATTCCACTTTCTTTATTGCTGGATGTGGCAGTGTATGCCAGCACTCAAGGATATCAGTGAGCCTTGTAAGCTCGGGCATCTGTGTTTCTCTTGTATCGCCGTTCCAGGCTTTACTCGACAGCAGGCTCTCCCTTACATTCAACTGTACCGTTTTTTCGAGTAACTGTTCGAGATACCATCCAAGAAGAGCTTGGTCAAGCGTCAAAGCGACAAGTTGATGAAGGTATTCCTTCCTGATCGTGGATCCCGTGATACGAATCTGAACGCAAATGTTACCCGCTTCTTCATCCGTTCGTTTTGCCTCGAGTTTGCAAAACCTCAAAGATTCAACTGGTTCAGTCGTTGCAGCATTGCCATTCCTATTAACCGGTACCGCGAACACTGTTTCATCAACAGGGGTGCCATCAGCTCTAACCAATGATACTTCGACCATCGCAATTCCCGCACCTGCTTCACGACAAAGCATTTCTCCTTTTCCTGTCAACGTGCTTACACCTTGGAAAGACGGATCAAGTTTTGATGGAGCGTTGTTGTAATACAGCGTAAAGCCATGGCTGTTCCAGCTCAGTACTGCACCCCCCTCGTCCATAACAGAGGAAATCGAGACATGCCCAGTCGAACTCAATCCAAAGTCGTTTAAACGGTGGAAAAATGATGACCCGCAAATATTCTGTCGGAACATCAGGAGAACCATACAAGGGTCATTCGCTCCAGCTGGAAACTCGTAAATGTACGATTGATCCGAAACGACGGGAACTTCTTTTTCAAGACTTGCCCAATCTTCTTCAAATGAATTCAAAAATTTAAGGTCTGTGCGCATCCACAAGAAGTGAGGATTCTTTGTAAGAATAGATGCGAGCATATCCACTCCAATGAGAAGAATTCTTCGTTGAAGCAATGTTCTTAACTGCCTCGTGACAGATGGGCCTGGGGGGTTCACGCCATAGACAAGCAATGTAACACTGCCGTTGTCATCAATCGCTTCCTCGGCTTTCAGACGCATGTAAAAGATGGCGTCGCTTTCATCTTTGTAGACAAACAAGCTTCGCCGATTTGAAACTGCAAAACTATGGAGTACATCACCTTCCAACCTTTGAGCTACTTGGAAAGGACTTGCAGCGCATCGCGTGTACAACTCAAAGTCGCTTTTGAATACTACGGGGCATTCAAAGCAACCTGACAGGAAAATCTCTTCCTCCACCAAATTACTCGACGCGTTGGAGATCGAGTCGCTGTCTTGATCGTTAGGAATTATCAAGTTGGAGATCGAGTCGCTGTCTTGATCGTTGGGAATCATCAAGACACTCGCTGTTCGAGATCGATGCAACCTATGCATGACACATTCAAATTTAAATTACCTTCATTGAACATTGTGTGACAGTACAACTGGGGTATGGATGCTTACCTTTCTAAGAGTAACGTTTGATTTACGCGATGAATGCAGCCTCCAATGAATCCATGGATCTTTGTCATCATCTCGTTGGCTCTCTTGCTGCCGCCTGGATGGTATGTTTGAATGAGAATACCATCTTCTTTGCCAACTTGCACGAAGGACCAAAAGTCAATGAATCCAGAACTGCCAACTACGACAAAGCCTCCTCCAACAAGAGGACGAAAAGAAAACTCTTCGCTCTTCCGCAATTCAGCATCAAGGAGCACAAAACCTTCTTCTACTTCAAGTTCTCTACCAGCTGGAGCAGATGCTTGAACCATTTGATCAGTCTTCGATACATAGAAGAAAATATCGATCGATGAAGATGCCACTGTCTGGATTCTCTCGAGGCATTTTTTCACCATTTGGAGGCCCTCCAGTGAAATCAATGCACCTTGTTCCCGAAGATTCTCAAGTGTTTGTTCCGCGACATAAGACTTCAGTAGAGAACTGATTTCCAACGCAGCACCGTGATGAGACCTCGGAAGAAGTCGAAGACCAGCGTTCTGAGAGTTTCCTTGTTTCGACAGTTCGCCTTTGAATATGGACATTTGTGCAGTGAGCCGTGTGTTTTTGGGAATTTGATGAAGATCCTCAAGAGACGCATTTTCGCCATCAAGAAGAAACCTCACGAATATGGGTGCTAAAAGGCTTTTCTCGAAAGCCACCGAGTCATTATTTCCATTTGTAACTCCTATTGAACCATCGTCCAAGTTTGGTACTTCAGTCTCGTCAAATTCATCTTCCCCATTGTTAACACTGTTGCTAGAGTCGTGAAGATCTAAGCTGCCCACAGAGGCAGCGGATTGCGATTCAGAATCATGTGAACGTAGATCTTGGTCATCTTCAACCTGGCCTTCTCCGCAATAGAACATGCATTCTTCGTTACCTGGAATAGGGCTCAAAATTGAACTTATCATTTGGTACAGTTTGGACCTATCATATTCCCGTAGGCCATCGTCCTCCTTTTGATTCGATGCTTTTGTTGTGACAACGCTTGCCTCATCGTCAAAGCTATAGTTCGATGCTGCTGCTGTGACAACGCTTGCGACGTCCACAAACTCACATGGTTCCATAACCTTTCCCAAGTCAACTGGTTGAAAGAAATCTATGGATTGGTGATCCTTAGATCTCATTGAAAGATAGCCTGCTGATGAGAATACCTTGCTGATGGGCGCTTCGATGTGATCCGCAAAGTCCGTGACACAAAGATATTCGCTAATGTGACTGTCGATGGAGTCATCATCGCCCATATCGTCGCGTTTGCTGTAAAGAGCACTGATACTGCTTGTAAAGAAAGTCAATGTACGAAATGTCTGAACACCATCTTCTGTCTCCTCTACCTTGTCATCCAACGAGAGATGTAGCAAACTCATTGTTTCTCTATCGAATTGAACAACGTACCATAACCCCCGCCCTTCGTCGATCATCAATTCATCAGTGCCAATGTCCAATTTCTGTACCCGCAGTCCGAGTGGCTTCGAAAGGAGGAAATCTGAAACCATCTTGCACAACAAATCGTTCGAGAAATACATTGAATGGTGGAAGAAACGAAGTTTACTCGACACTGCGGAGGAGTAAGCCATGATTCTCTTAGCGCTTTCGCGATGGCTTTCCCTCATTGAAACATCTTCTTGTCGCTCCAAACCTGGAGATTGGAGAGCCATCAATAGATTTGTCCGGCTTCTGAGAGCTCTACCACATTGTTGGTCACGCTGTCGGATCCTTTGGACCATACTGTCGAATCGGTTCGCTTTACTCTGCGACGGGCGAAATGGAGTAAATATAGCACTCTCACTTTCCATATGCAAGTCTACCACCACCCTATCTGTCATGATGGCGATTTGATATTGGACCAAATCACCTGCAGCTCCGGTGATGGCCTCTTGTTCAGCAAGCTTTCCAAACATGGCGCGGGTCGGGGTCGAGTGCAAAAGAAGGAATTGTCCAATCTCCAAGCGTCTTTTCATAAGCAATGGTAAGAGTTCAGGGTCGATCACGAGCTCCCATCTAGCGTGATGGAATTCAATTTCAATCTTGCCAAGATACCAGAAGCGAGTGTTGGTAATCCCAGCTAAATATGGTCCAAGCTGTTTACGCAGGACCATTACATCCTTCAGATCATCAATAGAGGTCTTCAAAGATTCGAGAGTCTCCAACCTATCATTGGGATCAATCCCACCGTAGTATTCGATTGTCAAGGAGTAAATTCGTGATGCAATCATTGAGGGCTTCAGTCCAACAACACAGTAGGTGCTTTTGTTTTTGAATAGCTGCTTGACATAATGGGTTCTAGGGGATACAATTTGCGTTGACCATTGTGCAAGGTGATCGAATAGCTCTTGTTCACCATTATCAGTTGCAATAAAGTCACTGAAAAAATCATCGCTCACTGCATATGGCATCCTCCCTGTGAAAAGAACGTCGAACTCGTCACGTTGAAAGTGACGTCGTCGTTGCTCTTCGGTCAATGCACCCAACCGTTTCACAAATGGGGAATCCATAGATCCAAGTTGACTCGACCACTGCAGTGGAGGACATAAAGATGACGCTTTCAAGTCTTCGAGACGGATCCGCCTGATTACCTGGCACAACCTTGCACTCGCTCGCTGTGCCGTTGTAAATGGTCTGGTTTCTTGCACTGTACCATGTCGCAGAAAGTCATTCTTCACTGACTGAATAAACTTCGTATTTCCAGACACTACGATTTTGATATGGGCTGAACCCACAATTGGATTCTTGCTGGATGATGCTGTGTAAGATAACTCATAATGCAAGACTGTACCAAGTTGCAGTGGGAGCTTGAATTGAATAACAACCTTATTTGCATCGGCTGTGCTACTTCCGTATTGCTTCGCTCGATAACCTTCTTTGATCCTCACCAGTAACAAAGCTTTGATTCTGATTGGGTAGACGACATATGTAGAGAAAGTAGTCCTAGAGTTTGCATAAGTTCGTTTGCTGGTGGGTTGCTTTTGGTCACCGAGTTTGAAAGGATGACCAGCAAGGGTTTCATGTCTTGTGATTCCGGCATTGGTAGGTTGAATTTCTTGTGCCACTATTTCATCGGCTTGATTCAAAGTCAAGTGCTTCTGTAAGTAAGGCGGCGGTGGCAATCTCGCGCCTGATGCATATGTAGGAGATAATGGGGACAATGAGAATAGTGTAAGCCACTGAACGCGGTTCATCTTGCTGTATTTTGGCCGAGATGCGTTAGGAGCAATGCTGCCAAACTCCGTATCAACACCCACTATTCGTTCCGAAGCGTCTTGTAGAATGTTCGAATCCAGAAAAGCTCCGCCTGTGGCTCTACAAATCCCAAACAAAGCTTCAGAATCATCAGACAGATGCAGCGGAAAAGCTGATGGATTTGCAGGGTCATAAGTTAGAAAGTTCAGTTCCTTCTTTTTCATAGACGCTTTCTTGCCGGCCATTGCATGAGTCTCCGGAGACGACAAGTCCAAAACGATCACTGGAACATCCACTCGATCTATGTCAAGGTAGACATCGACAATTCCTTCACAGGATACAGATCGACAGTCTGTGGCAACAACAATCAAGGGTCGTGCCTCGGAAGACAAGACACTTAGTGCGTAATCCCCTGTGTCCAATATGTCTCTCATGGACGACGAATACATTGGAACACAAAATGTGCTGGCTGGGTTCTCCCGACACATTCGTTCGGATATACCATACTCGACCTCGTGATGGATCCAGTGATCTATTTTCTTGACAAGCATCTCCGCTGACTGCAAGTCCTTCACTCGAAAATCACGCACCAGCAAATCAGTCTCTACCTTTTTTCCCAATGGGTAGACTGCAATCACAGACACAGCTACTTCCGGCGTCCAGTGACCTCCATCTGTTATCAGCGTAGATTCCACTTCCTTTACTAGTGCTGTGAAAAACGTTTTGGCCATCTGAGGAAGGCGGTCCAATGGGCAACAGTCAACCTTGGACCCTCCGGAAACCCCACATGTATTTGTCAAACTAGGAGAAGCATCCAAACAAAAGGCAATCCGTGTCACTTCGTAGGCAAAGTATACCCTAGAAGTTGGGTGTACTCTTAATGGCAACTGTCTTGGCTGATAGCAACAAGTATCGCTTGTGTTCCGGAGTCGCTTGGCATCTTCATTGAACTTCTGGGTTTGATTTCGAATGGCTCGCCTTTGACGTTTCTGCATCTTATTGGAAGTCCCCACCGGTGAAAAGTCCAGCAGTCCTGTTACCCCGGAAAATGCAGAACTGAGAACGTGATCACCTGTTGACTGATTGGACTTTGTTTTAGATGTCCCCAGTGCCTCGATGAGATCAAAGTGATAGCAAACCCGTTCGGCCAATCCATAGCGCCCATAGTTGTTCAGCAGGAAGTGCGCCGTATCGACGTACTCCATTGCCGCAACAATCTCAGCATCTGAGTTTGTTTTCGGCTTTCTGTTGGCTTTTGATTTTGATTTCACCATGTTGTACCGATAGACTGGTTCTGAACAACGAAGGAATGAATGGATCAATCAATCAATCAATCAATCAATCAATCAATCAATCAATGAATCAATGAATCAATGAATCAATCAATCCATACATCACCACTTCGATCATATTATGATTTTTGGGATCTAAAGTTGAGCAAGTACTGCAACCCGGATTCATGTGACTCCCTCGACTCTTCTCTGTCGAATCAATCAGTCATTTGTGAATATGTCGTGGATAGATGATCGATTGTTCGCGATTTTACAGTAGATAGCCTACTGCCGTCCTCAGTGTGTGTGTTCGTAGGGTTTTTGTCTTGGTGTGTAGCTGGAACGGCCGGGAAATAGAAATTTAGCATACAATGCTTGGGAGTAAATATTGATTTTCCCTGCCGTTCCTGGTGGGTTGTGGTGTGAAGCGGGTCGAACTGATCGAGGAATAGACTCGATTCGTTCGACCAATCTCAGAAATCTGTGCGGTACAGTATTGCTGAGATCTGCTTTCCTACCAGTCACCGCCGATATTGTAAAAATGGAGGCGGTGCCCAACAGGGCGGGTGAGGTTTGGGAGAGAAAAATTGAATTACCGCAACACAAGTGGGTGAATTCAATATCAGTCGATAAACTGGGCAGCATTGCCTTGGCTCATTGACAACAACTTTTGACAGTCGAAGGCCGTTCGGCCTTCGTCCGTCTGTAACACAATGTAGTCAAAGAGATCGAACAGTGTGCCTGCGGAATATCAAATTCGAAAATAGTGCAACAGCTATCTTCTGTTGCATCAAGCAACAAAGGATCCACAAAATGTCGACAAGCAGCATTACAACGCTTGTTCTTGAAGACGAGGTATGTGGTTATATCGAATCCACTGATAGCCTTGTGTAATTAATTCTTCTAAAAAATCCCCTCATCATTTCTTTCTATTGTTAGAGTCTCCTCTTTTCAATTCTATCGTTTTGTGACGATAGGACAAGTCGGAATGAAGTCCTCTTTCTTTCCAAGCGTTTCTTGGATTTATTGACTAGTGAAGTCTCGTTTCGATGGCGTCTCCAATGCCTTCATATTGTACATGGAATCTACTCTCCTCCTACTTTGGGCCTGAAGCAGACCTGGAAAGATATCTATCTGGAGTCTTATCCACAAAGAAATCTCTGGAGTGCCCACAAGAATAGTAAATCAGATAGCGAATCCAACAAGATTCTTGCTTGTATGCGTTTGAAACCAGTGCTTGACGAGCCCAGCGAACATCAAGCCGCTCCTGCAGAGAAAATTGTATTGCCACTTCACCAAAGATTGGCACTCATTCGAATGAGCCAAAATCTGAAATCAAATCGAGAAGCACTGCGTGTGCTACAAATGCAAGGAGATTGGTTCACAGCGCAATGGCAACAAGAAAAATCTTGCAATGAAGAAGCAGATGGCAAAGAAATTACACCGCAAGAAGAAGTTGCCGGTTTGCCAAGTCTCATTGGTGGGGTTCATTCCATCGACCACGAAAATAATCGTGTATTTGTAGTTGATCATACCAAAGGATTACGAGAGTTTTCCTTTGATCATGTGTTACCAGATCTTTCGTCTCAGGATATGACCTATGAAACTTGCGCACGACCCCTGGTCACAAACTTTGTCAATGGCTTCAATTCGACCTGCTTGGCATATGGCCAAACTGGGTCGGGTAAGAGTCATACAATGTTTGGACCCCATGATCCATCAAACGAGTTAATGTCATTTGATCAGAATTCTAGCCAATGGGGAATTATTCCGCGTGCATGCTACGAAGTCTTCCAAGCATTGGAATATCGACAGGCGAATGTGAGGATAGAAATTGATGCCTCTGTTTCCATGAGCTACATTGAAATCTATGGCGAAAGTGTCTCAGATCTGTTAAGAGAGCGAGCACCTTGTGGCCATAGCAAAGTTGCCGCACAACGGTATGTTCTCGATGGTGAAGCCGAAAAAAGTGTCGCTTCTTTTGAAGACACAGTTAAGTTGCTAAATCAAGGAGAACTACAAAAACGTACTGCTTCGACGGCAATGAACGAGCGCTCGTCTCGAGCTCATACTCTGTTGATCTTGACCCTAAAACAAAGAGCCCATACCTTAGGCCAGGTGGTCACCAGCAGGCTATTCTTGCTGGATCTTGGAGGAAGTGAAAATCTGAAAAAGAGCAAAGCTAACACTAATGCTCAACGAACAAAAGAAGCAGTAAACATCAATCTTGGTTTGCTGGCACTTAAGCGATGTACAGCAGCTTTGAACTCGACTACTAGAGGCAAGAAAAGCCATGTCCCATATCTTGACTCGAAGCTAACTATGTTGCTATCTGAGGGACTTGGCGGCAACAGCAAAAGTTGCGTCATCCTTTGTGCAGCTCAAGATCCCGAGCATGCAAAGGAAACTTTGGATACAGTTGCATTTGGTCGAGCTATTAGCAACGTATCGAATGATCGTAAACGTAGCGATGAAGAAAGTATGCTGAAGCACTTGTTAAATGATATTGATATGTCAATTGCGAAATGTGAGGAGAACATTCGACGAAATGAACGATGGGAGACGAAAACAGTGAAGCAAACGAATGCGTATGACGAAATGGAAACCAAGGTGACAACATTGTTGGTGGGTGCCGAGTCTGATCGTCTAGAGCTGGAGAAGTTGCTCCGACGACGTGCCCAGTTGACTGGAACCGCAATCGACATTGCCGATGCCGAGAACATTGTTGGATTTGGGAATGCGCATAGCTACGGAATGGGTCAACAGATGGTTCCCAAGAACGAGTAATACATTTGTAAACAGTAGTTGTTAAAGTAAAAATAGTGGAGTTTTATATTTTGAAGTCGGTCCATCTATTCTGTTATGGAATTGTCAAAGACTCTGTTGCTGCGACGATTTGCTTGAAGAATATTGGTGACTTACTCGTCTTTGCGAACAGTGGGCAGTGTCAACCATCAAGGCTGCATTTCTCCTCCAAAGTCGCAAAATGCCGGTGAGACATTTGCCACTACGCAAGCATCAACAGTATAAGAGAACAGGTCTCTTGCGGCAACAATCTCAACATGTTCAGATAGAATCAGAGTTTTCCATATTTACTGTGATGATTGAAGTTTCGAAAGATATTGATGGGCTTGAAAGTACACGTTGGCATGAGCCTCAATAATCGGTGCCCAATCATCTGCTCGAGGATAACCTCCCCCCATACAGATTACCAGAGGAACTTTCATTTTATGTGAGAACTCGTACATCAAGTTGTTGCGTCGACTCACTGCTTCCTGCGACAAACTCATCCGCCCAAGTCGGTCCACCTCCAACACGTCTACTCCTGATTGAAAGAATATCAAATCAAACTTTTCATCTGACTTTTTGTTTTCGTTGTAGATTTGATTCAGCCAATGATTGAGCGTCATCAAGTAGGTCTGATCGTTGCATTCAATTGGCAGCTCAATGTCCAAGTCCGAGTCTTCCTTCTTGGAAAAGTAGTTTCCCACGCAATGTAACGAAAATGTAAAAACGTTTGGATCCTTTTCGAAGAGCACAGCGTTTCCATTGCCTTGATGAACGTCCAAGTCCACCATGAGGACCTTTCGAATGGTACTAGGGTATTCTCGCAATATCACATTGGCAGCCACGGCCATGTCAGAAAAGACAGAAAACCCTTCCCCTCGATCATAAAATGCGTGATGGGTTCCTCCTGCAACGTGCGCTGCCCAAGGTGCAGGTCTGTCGGTTAGATGCTGTTGATCTTGCCAGAGTTGACAAACATCACGGGCTGCCGCCAGAGTCCCACCGACCGAACTGGTTGCCCGATCCACTCCTTGTTGGGACCAGGGAAAACCAACATTCCTTTGTTCTTCTTTTGTCTGATCCCCCGTCAGAAATCGATTGATGTATTCCATAGAATGTGTTGTAGCAAGCTCGTCAAAGGTGGCCAAAGGGGACACACAAAATTCTAGTCAAAAGGGATCGATGAGATTTGGTGCCCACCCAGTGACAATTCAAGACGTCGCGAAATGAGAGACTCACCACAATCAATCAGATTCTGTTGTTCTTCACTCAACTCGTTTATCAATCCCTGTAGTTTGTGCCTCACTTGGGCATATTTCTTCATTGGAAACCGGTGTCTGGGAGGAAGGTTGACCTCGTAGACATCATTGTAGTATAATCGAAAGAAGGGCTTGAACGCAGTTTCATCTCGGGAAAATGTAGAAGAGGCGCGCAATATCGCTGATCTTCTATTTGCTGTCGTTGCCAGGCTCACAAAAGCGGTGGAAACTTTGACCCTCATGAAGCAGGCTAAGGTGTTTGTAGTTGATGGTGTTGGAAATGAAGAATGATCAATCGTCAGTCCCGACAAACTCATGACTCAGATTGAGTCAAATCAGTCATTTGAAGGTGCAACAACAGAACGAACCAACAACAACTCAACACTTTAGCACCCCTTGTCCTTCGGCGAAAGAACAACAGAAACTTTCTGTTCTTTCCTAACGCGTCACTATTACTATGTTTGTTCGGCCTCTACGAAACGGTGTAAAAGGTTTCTACGAGAAATTAAGTAGGCGATGGATATCCTCCTCCCAATTGACGGTGGAATTGACCAAGGACACCTCGCGATTTGACAGTCGACCGACCAAAGAGGAGCTTTTATTTGGCACCACCATGTCGGATCACATGCTAATGATTGAATGGGAAACAACTAATGGGTGGGGTACCCCAAAGATTGCACCGTACCAAAATCTTAGTATCAGCCCAGCAGCTACAAGTCTCCATTACGGGCTCCAATGCTTTGAAGGAATGAAGGCATACAAGTCCCTCGACGGTGATGAATCGCTTCGATTGTTCCGCCCCAACAAGAACATGGAACGCCTATCAAATTCCATGGATCGTTTGCACATGCCTGGGGCAGACTTTGACCGGAAAGAATTGGAAAAGTGCATTGCGGAACTCGTCAAAATTGATGAGAAATGGATTCCGTCGGGGGAAGGATATTCACTGTACATACGGCCCACATGTATTGCAACGCATCCATTCTTGGGTTTAGTAAGTATCTATGCTACTAGATTGTACTTTTATCAAATGCCATTAGGAGACGTTGGCATGGCATTCATTTTCTTTCTCCTCTAATGTCCTTCCACACATTCAAATCACAGGCATCCCCTACCAGCCTTCTCATGTACGTCATTACCAGTCCCGTCGGTCCCTACTACAAGAGTGGCTTTGATCCTATTCGTTTGACGGCGGATACCAGCTACGTCCGCGCCTGGCCAGGAGGAACGGGGAATTCCAAGGTTGGAGGCAACTATGCTCCAACCATGAAGCCAGCCGCTGAAGCGACAGAGTCTGGCTATTCACAAGTCTTGTGGTTATTTGGGGAGAATCGTGAAGTGACAGAAGTTGGATCTATGAACTTGTTCTTTCTGATAAAAGACAAGGTAACAGGGAAGCCAGAATTGGTCACTCCTCCATTGACACGAGGTGATATTTTGCCAGGTGTCACTCGGGATAGCATCCTTCATTTGGCCATGACTTGGGGTGACGTGGACGTATCAGAAAGATTTCCCGAGATGGCCGAGATTCAAGAAGCTGCAAATGATGGTCGGCTGATAGAAGCCTTCGGTGCAGGTACTGCAGCTGTAGTAACGCCTATTTCCTGCATCAAATACAACGGTGAAGATATTGAAATTCCGGCGGTGGGTAGTGTTACGCAAAGAGTCTGGGATGAGATCACTGGCATTCAATACGGCAAAATTGAAGGCCCAGAAGGATGGAGTGTCGTGCTATAATTTTGTGGACGGATGATGATTCCTTCTTCGTTGCGAAAACATAATAAAACTATGTTAGCCCATATCTTTCTTTGACAGTTTGCACGTCAGTGGCTTCAAAACAAAAGCCAATACATTCCATCAACATCACAAAAGCAAAAGCCAATACATTCAACATGAGAACGACTACTCCCCTGTGCGTGCTTGCACTAAGTGCAAGTCAATCCAGTGGCTTTTCGTTTCATCATATTACTAGAATACAAAGAACAAGTGAAACCACTTTGTCTGCCTCCCGGAGAGAAGTCATCGCCATTCCAGCAGTTCTTCTCTTGCCCGCCATTCTTTCCTCCCCTGTCAACGCTGAAGAGGGTGACTTGACATCGCAAATGTTCAATCCGGATGGATCACCCAAAGAAGGTGTCGAAACTGAAGCCAAGGAACGCACTGTCGAATTCTCATGGGATTTCTCGAAGGATCTTTCCTTGAGTGAAGACGGCCAAAACATTGGCACTACCCAATCTGGCAAACAAGTAAAGTTGAAGTACAAGTACCCCTTCAAATGGTCTGACGGAAAGGATGGGGATGTCATATATTTCGATCGAAGCGAGGGAACCAATGCCAAGGCTTGCAAACGAGTTACCGTCTTCCAAGCCGAAGGAGATGCAGACATTGATAGATTGAAGAAGGCTTCTCTCGTTGGAGTTGCAAAGTCCATCGGTGCTCCCAAGGACACCTTGGAACGACTGTATAAGGCTGATATTATATCAGGAAAAATCGATTATCGAAACGACCAAGCGTACTACGAATGGGATATGGCTGCTGCTGTAAGTATACCATGCACATGTTCGATAGTCTCCTAGCTTTGATCGATAACCAACTCAACTTCTTATTCAACCCTTTGATGTAGCCGGACTCTTGCAGCAACTCGGCAGAAAACTTGGGCCTGGGATTCTGTCCGTACGACAACATTTTTTTGTTGTCTGCTACCATAGTTGAGGATAAGCTGTATTGCATCGTGGTCGAGTGTGACTCCACCAAGATTTGGAAGCTTGCCAGTAGTGAATTGAAGCGGGTCCGATCTAGTTTCATAGTTGATGCAGTGTCAGCGTAACTGATAGATCATTATCGCTAGCAGTGTCACTTTTTCTTCGTTTCTGTGTCGAATTCGAAACTATCATCATACTCGTATAGTGGTAGAGATCGCTTTGCATTCTCTTTCAATGAAATGGTTTAATGCCCCTTACCTGTGCAATACAACAATACAAAAGGACTGTATACAAAGATTTCATATGCGTCTTATGAATTAATAGAGGTACCCTTTCGCTCATTCTTCTCTAGTAGGAACCAAAGCCCGACCCACGACACAAGTGGGTCCGCCTTTGACCCCAAATTACACAATGCTGCAGTCCAGCATATAGATATATATCAATATATTTCATTTTATAAAACAAGGTCCTTTCAGGCAGTAAAAAGGACCTTGCTGGTGTTCCATCAAGTAAATGTTCCCCATAAACAGATGTGCGAGCACCAACCACGATTGTTGAATGCTCCACGATTATTGAGTGCCCCAGTTACAAAAACTGGCACTCCTGCTTGTGCTGACTGGATCTCCAGTCATATACTTGGCAAAGCTTGCTACAGTATTTTGCTCGGCAACATCTGCTGCACATTTTCATGCGTGCGACTCGATCGACTTTGACACCCGCCTCTTCCCAGGCCAATGCCTGAGGGCTCTTTTTGGGTGATATGGTCACACAGGGCTTGGAGTTATCGGGTGGTGCATTCATATCACCACCGGAAGCAGCCCCGTCATTATTGTTATTGTTTTGTTCATTGCCGTCTCCCAGGGCAATATTGGGTCGCCGACTCAACGACGCGGCAAACCCATCGTCATTGACATTTTGCTGAATGTCTTGTTGTCCAAACCTCGTGGGTCTTCTCATTCGCACCGCAGAGGTTGGATTCGTAGCCTTGTATGCCCATTTCCCGCATAATGGGTTCCAACAATGGCTTGTATTGAATCCCCGAAGTTCTGCAGAGTCCACATAATCTCTAAGCAGTAGTCTGTTAAGGCATGCTGGATCGAGATGGCGGCGTAGCGCATCAGCATTAGGTTCCCCGAATCGCTCCTTCATTTCTCTAACAGACAAAAGTTCCTGCAAGGCAGGAAGATAGCCGGTGGATGCAGCCAACTTCATAAATTGCGTTGCCTGCTCTGGAAGAGCGTCACGCAGTATTATTCCCAGTGTGTAAGACGATCTTACAAACCCATGCGATGATGCTATTTTGAGCATCAGAATTCCATTTCTCAAATCTTGATAGCAATAGCACTTTACAATCCCCAGCCTGTAAAAGGTTGAAAAACAAAAAAACAGAAGACGTCAGCAAAATACGATTGAAATGGAAAATTGGAAGATAGATCCTGTAGCGTGTTAAACACACGATGATCTTGATACTCCCGCATCACAAGCACACAAATCAATTCCATCAGCTTTTTACTTACATGTAGAGGGCCTCTAGGTTACCAGCCCGAGCAAACGGGGCCAAAGCTGCCGCAGCAGTGGCAGGAGAATCAGTATCTCGAATGATTCCCAACTTTCCAGTCTCCACATTACCAGACACACTGACTTGAGCCAGCATGGTATCCGCATTGGAGAGGTCTCTAAAGATTTTGCAGGTGAGTTGCAGTGAACTTCGGTCCTCAACGGATCCCAGGAAGGAAAGACAATGAACAATTGCATCCTCCGGAACAGTGCTCAAAAAGGGAGAATTCTGTTGCTGTGTTTGTAGGGAATTGGATATGCTCCGGGGAACAGATACTATTTTGCTGTTTCCTCTGAATTTCTTCAAAGGCCTGTCGCCAGAAGCAGATTCCTCATCGGAAGGCACATCAAAGGAATAGCGACGCGTGGTTGGTGTTACCAGCGCGGGCGTCCTATTGCCTCCACTGAGGGAGTTGCTGCTTCTGCGTCTGCGTTTTCTACCATTCTGTTCAAACTCAGATGTATACGAACTGTCGTCCATTGAATCATCTTGTGATAATGGCCATTTGAAGAAACCTTTCGGTAAGCACGATAGTAACGAACCCCGGATCATGTTATCTATACCACTCGCTGTCCCCAAGTGCGAGGGCGTTGATCGATGATTTTTTTCCAAAGCCTCCGCCTCTCTTGAGCTCCTTGCTCCAACTTCTGCTGCGCAGCGCAGAACAATACCTGCTCTCCGGCTATGGCCTAAATCATTAAGTAATGCGTCAAATGCGATCTCGTTATATCCAGAACTGAAAATGATCATTGGCCAGCTTCGCCAATCGTTTTAGTCCAACGGACCCACATCTCTCAACTTGGACGAAAATTTTGGGTCCTGCAAGGCTTATTTTATTGTGTGACGATGATGATCCTGAGGC